TGCTGACATTTTTACATACCATATCCTTGCAACTGCTTACATTTCAGATGAAAAAAATTGTTATAAAGAAACATATCATTTATTTCAAGAGAAAGAAAGGAGGCCACTAAATGCTATCATAAAATAGCACTTCTATTTATTTACCTGTACTTCTGAGGCTAAGCTTAGTGCTTTAGTGCAACCCAGACTACAATTTGATGAGATGCTAAAGTCTGTACTGCATCTGGTATTACACCTCAAACATCATGCACATATCATGACATGCCCTGGTTCAATAAAACTCCCTCACTTTGGCAGTTCTTTTATATCAAACATGTTTGCAGATGAATGTGGCAGGAATAACCAGTATGTTGCATTGCGTGTGTTGCATTGCACGCTGTCTGTTCTCCTGTAGCTGGCCAAAACCAGCATAAACCTCTTCCTGGGAGTCTTTGCAAGGTGAACAGAAGCACACTCAGAGCCCATGCGCTAGTCTCATCCAACAGGGCACAGGTTCTACTTGCAAGTGGGGAAGCACAGCCTTAGAACATACATGGAGATGAAAAACAAATTACCTCGGCAGTTATCAGATTGGGTACAATGGCTGGACATTCAAGAGTGAAAATGAAAAACACAGCCACCTCCAACACAGCCTGCCTTCCATCCAGCGCCAGGGAACCCAAACTTCCCTATCTTACTACTCAGGTGTCTGTTGAGAAATTGTCTCCATCAGCAATGTGAAGACACTACCATAAGATGAAGGTTGGGGAACTCCAACAGATTTTGCCTGGCAAAGAAAACAGAGGTTCCAATGACCTCACCCCTTCCTTGAGAGACCAACCTGTCATGTACCCAGGTGGTACCACCCTCAGCAGCTGAAGGCTTGCTTCCTCGCACAGATGAGGTCGAAGAGGCTGTGCTGGCCCTAGCCACTGCATAACAAGAGCCACACAGGAGCTGCTGGAAAGCTGTGTGTGGTTCAAGGGTCACAACACAGTTACTGCTATATCTGCATACCATTGTGACTGCTGCTGTTATTACCTGCATACCCGCTCTCCTCTATTTCATTGTGCCTCAGACTAAGGGTACAAAAACAAATCAAACCAAACACTGCATTTCTTGGCTTCTTCCAGCACTGCTCCTGGCCTGACTATGCCACTAGTCACCTCTTCACTTTACACTTGCTATTTCTGATGCTGCTTTATGTCTTTCTCATGCCTCCCATACAAATCATACCAGCTACCATCTAAACATTGGGATCTTCAGACTGCCACAACTGCAGTCTTGATATGGGGATACTTCCCTTCCCTACACTGTTAGCAGCATAGTTTTTCCTGGCAATTACTTCAGACATATCCTTAGATGTTGAATTAGAGGAAACTGAGCAGAGTGTAGTCCAGAACACCAGTGGGATGACTTGGCCTTGCCAGTCAAGGAAAATAGTATTTATGTGACTAGGATGGCAGATGGAAGGGTTCAGACTGCATGGGACTATGTAAAGAAAAGCAGCTGTGGTGGGGCCATACTGGAAGGACAGTTTACCACTTTTCAGCTCATCTCTAGTTTCTGTCCATGGTGATATGTTACCTACAGCAGGTGGAAAGTAATGCAAAGAAACTTAGTTTTTTCATGGCCTCAGAGTGGAAATCCAAAACTGGAGATCTTTGATATTCATTTACCTGGGCTTCAGCTCTGCCTTAGTAAAGCAATTAATTACACATCTCCAGAAAGGTTTGAAAATTAATTCAATAATATTAGCAACAGTTTTGAGGACCACATAGGAGCCTGTGGGGAAATGAACACTTGTGACTTCCATGTAGTATTGAACAGAACCCATTGGAACATGGTCTGAAGCTGCACAGTAAAATTGTTTAAGCTGATCATTCAGCAGACATCATCCCTCTTTTGCACTGAGCAAAGCAAGCATCATATGGGAAATACAGCATGTGGTCATGCAATGAAACCCTGCATCATGACTCACAGAAAGAGTATAAACTAAGGTAGCATGACAAGTGTTAATACTTACACTTAGCTTCAGTTACTGCATTTGTTACTCAATTTTCTTCTAATTCAGCTTCTTGGATGAAATACTGGTATATGCTAGCAAAAACCAAATTCAAACCAGACAGCTGGATGTCATTTTTTCCCCTTTAAAGAATGTCATGTTAGGAATGGCCCAGTGGGCAAAGGCAAATGCATAATGGTTATTCAGAAAGCAATTAGATTCTGACCGCAGGGAAATGTTTTCTGAATGGATTGAGCTTTAATAGAATAGACCCAATAGTCTTTTTTGTTCCTCTATTTCTTATATAAGGAATCTTTTTTCCTTAGAGTTAAGATCTGGGTTAATGATGAACACATAATTATACTCTTCACGCAGTTCTTCACTATGAACTTGTACATGTATCTTAATAGTTACAACAGCTGCATTCTAAGATCAATATAAATATAAAAGTGGCTAAAGACATTTTGAGGTAAATGACTTTATACATGCCCTTAAATACAAGCACAGTTACATTAGTGAATTTTTAGCCTTTTCATTCACAGAGACATGGTATCACAGGAGTAGTCAGTGTTTTGGGCTGATAGAAAAACCAAAAGCTAGTAGTAACCCAAGCCCAAATTAAAAGAAATTGATTTGCCTTTGAGCAAATTTGAATGATTTAGAAATCTCACATCTTCTTGTGCTGTTTCTTTTGGTTCCAAGACATGAGAAGCTACACTGTATTTAGAAAGCTAATAAATAATCGGCCTAATTCTGCTCTCAATAACACAGGCACTCAAAGCAAAGGCAAGAGGGAGGATTCAGGAAGGTTGTGTAAGCCAGCACTGCTACCACATCTCATCAAAGGCTAATCAGCAGTGGAAAACAACAAAGCTCCTACAAATCAGTGTTGGATAGTGTAAGAGAAGTTATGTCTTTATAATATCTAATCTCATACATCTGTAATGACAAACTGTAAATATCCACATGACCTGAACAACCAGCAGTAGACAAGCTTACACAGTAACACTGCACAGGCAGGATGGACACTGAAGGAGGGTGGAAGGAACACAAAAAGTATTTCTTTGTTTTTCTAGAAGACATCCTCACACCAAAGGCAGGCTGACAATTTGTCCCAACCTACAAGGTGCAAGCCAATGCAGAAGAGAAATGGCTTTGCTGAGTAGCTACAGAGCAAAACACGCTCTTGTACGGACTGAAGTCTCATTGTCATGCTTTTTTCTGCATAAACTGCCATTACTCTTTTTTCAGGGCTCCCAGTAACCCTCAGAAGCTCCCCTAAACCAGCACATTGCTGCACCAGCTCAAAAAGCACTCACACCTCAGAGACTCATTTTGCTATGGAGTGTGTCAGTTCTCAGTTGTGGCAGTTACATACACGAGAGCTACTTCATCCAGGTTTGAATACACCAGCTGCTGTTGGCCTTCAGACTGAATCCAGTTTCGAGTGTCTCTAATTAGCCAGCGAGATGCCATGCTCTCATAAAAGACTGCAGCATTGGCTCAGCTTCCTGATTTATCAAAGCCGGTCTTCTGTGTTTGGTACCGATCAACAGCTGAGGTGTGAGTGAAAATGCCCGAGGTTACATCATCTGCTTTTTTTGATACCAGGTATGACATAAGGTGGATAAACCTCTTCACAGTTTATTACACTATTTCTTCTTTGTAAGGGGGGAAGAAGCCTTTGTCATGCAGTACATTTCTATGTCTGAGCAGGCAGAATACCTATAGATCTGTAGTACAACTCAATTTTGATGTCCATGATGATTTAAAAGACTTCCTTGATTTTATAGTAGTATCTGTATGAATATTAACTCCATAGGTTCTTTCTTGTTACGAGTGACATGTAAGTAGTGAATTAATTCTAATCATGAAGGTTGTTCATAAAACAGATAAAACACCTGCTTGGATAGACACCAAAGTTAAAACACATGAATGATATCACGAGTCATCAAGTGATAAGATCTTGCTCTTATGAAGTGTTTTCAACTGATACACTCAGATCGTAAAGAGCACTTAAATGGAAATCAGTGCAACGGGACCATCTGTCAGAGAAGGGGAAGAGCATCTTCGCTCACAGGCTTGCAAGCTGCTGAAGAAGGCTTTCAACTGAAGCTGCCAGGCGAGGGGAACCTCAAAACATTCCACTCCTACCAATTTGATGCCAGTGCCTGGAGAGGGAGAGCAGATCAGCAGGAGAGCACCTGAACAGCAAAACAAAGGAATTCCAGCCCCTCCATCTGGGGCTCAGCTTAAATGCTGCTATGCATCAAAGGGCTGTAAAGACAGGCTGGGAGAGTTGAGGTGGAGAAGAGAAGGCTCTGGAGAAGAGAAGGCTCTGGGTACCTAAAGGGGGCCTGCAAGAAAGCTGAGAAGGACTTTTTACAAGAGTGACAGGACAAGGGGAAATGGCTTAAAACTGAAAGAAGGGAGATTTTGATTAGATATAAGGAAGTTCTTTACCATAAGGGTGATGAGGCGCTGGCACAGGTTGTCCAGAGAAGCTGCGGCTGCTCCATCCCTGGCAGTGTTCCAAGGACAGGTTGGATGGGGTTTTGAGCAACCTGGTCTAGTGGAAGGTGCCCCTGCCCATGGCTGGGGGTTGGAACTGGATGAGCTTTAAGGTCCCTTCTAACCGAAACCATTTTATAGTTCTATAAAACAACTGGGAAGCTCATAGACAGAGAAGTGAAGAACACACTGCCAGCCAAGAAGTCAGTGGGAGTGGTGGGAAGAAAATGCATGTGTCTCAATTAACTGATCAGACTCAATTCCCTGCAGATTGCTGTTTAATGGTGTTTCCTTTTAAGATACAAAATTACAGAGAGTGCAAAAAGACCAAGAGAATAATAATCCTTGTGGAATATTGCTATGATTTAACCCCAGTTGGCAACTCAGCCCAACACAGCCACTAACTCACTGCCCCTCTTGTGGGATGGGAGAGAAAACCAGAACAGTAAAAGAGAAAAAAAAAAATCAGAAAAGTAAAAGGCTAAAAAATGACTAAAAGCATGGGCTGAGATAAAGGCAGTTCAATAGGTAAAGCAAAAGGCCTGCACACAAGCAAAGCAACACAAGGAATTCATTCTCTACTTGCCATCAGGAGTAAAGTGTTCAGCCATCTCCAGGCCAGCTGTGCTCCATCATGTGTAATGCTTACTTGGGAAGACAAATGTGATCACTCCGAACATCCTCCCCTTCCTTCTTCTCTCCCCAGCTCTATATGCTACATGGTATGGCATACCCCTTGGGTCAGTTGCGGTCAGCTGTGCCAGTTGTGTCCCCTCCCAACTCCTTGTGTACCCCCAGCCTGCTCACTGGGTGCAGGATATGAGTCAACAATGACACTTAAATCACATCTGTAATGAAGACAAGGAAAATCTGCAACAACCAAGTCTATTGCCTCATGATGTGTTAATCTATTAGCTGAGTAACTACACCATCATCCCTGGCATAAAACCTGCTTACTGTTCCTGACTGTTCTTCATCTAGCCGTCTTGACTTTTACTGTATCTATCTTCTTAGGTAAAATCTGAAATTTTAGTATTCTCACATTTCCAAATTCAAAACCAAAGTTTGCAAGTAGGTTCTTAAGAGATTATAAGGTGCCTTTCATCATTTTACACACTGTTAAATATTAGATTAATTTATTAAAAGAACATATTGCTACAAGAGTTAGTCTTGAAATCATGGATCATCAACCAGAGGTCACAAAAGAGCCACTTAATGTACTCTGTGGACTTTATCTTCTGTGATAATCCTGGAAAACGTTTCACAGTTAATTTTAATGCACTCTTTGGGTCAGTTTTGAGCTGCAATTTGTCATGCATCATTAATTTACAAATCTAAACAAGACCTGGTATTAATTATTACTTCATAGCAGCCAACATTTCATAAAGCTATAGTAATATTCCTGTTCTTCATCCCTACCTGCAAGCATCCAGCTGCTGAATATTTGGTACTTGGTTCTTATTTTGTCTCATGCTTTGAATTTGTTCGTCTGCAATAACCAGGAAAAGTACTGCAATATAAAGCATGCAGTTATGATATTCATTCTTTAACCTTCTGTGTGGTATTTGACACCCACAGAGATTTTCCCAGCTCTGGGAATTGTTGAGTCAATGTTGTCTCAGCTACAGACCAGCAACCATAGCTAATGTTTTCAAAGCTGTCAGAAGCTGCGCTCTTAAATCCATTATTTATACCCTCAGATAAAAGCGATCTGATTTTTAGAAACATAAAAAACTCAATAAATTCCCAACTGAAATCAGTGAATATTAATTACTAGCAGTCCTAATTAGCAAAGAGAAACAATATATTGACTCTCATGTATTTGTGCCTACTCATACCTCTTTAACCACGACCAGTCTGGCCCAGACACTCCCATTAAACAGCCTGTTACATGAGAAAAAGGGTTCTTAAATTTGAGATTCATATTTCACAGCAGTAGCCAAAGGGAGACACCGTAATCCAGGTCATACCAATAAATGAGTTGCAACCAGTGTCTCAGAGAACAGATGTCTCATAGTTTAGAGATGCATGTGAGGGGATAAAAATACCAAACTGTAACACTAACATGGTTCTAAGAAAATTTCTTTGAGAATGTTTTAATTCTAGAGCCAACCAAAAGCTTTACAGACTGATAAATGGAAGAAAGAGGGGGAAGACTATTGTCAAAGAATGCCTGGAGGACACGGTGGGAGAGGTGAAGACTCCTTCCTGCCAGGCAGCTTAGAGTTGAGGGGCTCTTCCGTCACTGCAGTGACTCCTTGGTCTTTCCTTGGCCACCCTGGCCCTCCTTCCTGTTGCTGCAGGACACTGAGGTGAAGGCTGCAAGTACCACACTGATCTCCCAGGCCTGTGGGCACAGAGCTTTCAGCCACTGCTGATGTTGCAAGGGGAAGGAGAGCAGGAGGAAAGCACACCACTGTTGGTGAATCTTCGAATCATAGAATAGTCAGGGTTGGAAAGGTCCTTAAGATCATTCAGTTCCAACCCCCCTGCCATGGGCAGGGACACCTCACACTAAACCATGTCACCCAAGGCTCTGTCCAACCTGGCTTTGAACACTGCCAGGGATGGAGCATTCACAACTTCCTTGGGCAACCCATTCCAGTGAAGATATATCCTTCTTCACCCTGTTTCCAAACAGCAGTTTGCAGGAGGTACCTTCATCCTGCCTTGGAATTTGGTCTCTGATTTAGCCTTCCCCACCTGTTCAAGCTGCCTGGGTTTATGTTTCCTCTGCACCAGCAGTAGTGCAGCCTGCCCAGTGTGGCTGACCTCAACTGGCAAGCCTACAGCTGAGAGTCTCATGGTGATAGGCTGTACTTTTATATCAAGAGCTGAAATAACAAACTCAGTTCATGCAGGGGGCAGAGCTTTGGACTCATCTCTGCTTGAGAGGCCTGGTTATTTATTAATTATATTTAAAGTTTTATAACAGCTTAAAAGGAATGTGAGCCAGAGGCAACACTTCAGTGAAGCCTCCCTTGTGCAATGCTTGTGTAATTCTCTTCGTTTAGTGCTGGTTTGTGCAGCTATGGAAAGCTCCAGTCTGTTCACTCCTCTAATGACTCCGCTGGTCCTGGTGATTTCTTCACCCTTTGACAGGAGAGTTCTGGCAGACAGACCCCCGCAGAGCACTACTCTGTTGTGAAATCCCAGTGCACGGAGTCCAATGGGCACACCAATGCAAAATCTTGCCCAATCACTTCCTAAGGAAAATCTGCAAGAAAATCTGCCTTTTGATACCCACTCAGCAAGACTGGAAAGAATGCTTTGCAAGCTACTTCACTTCTCCTTGAAATCCCAATTGCCCTAACAAGGCAAGTGTGGTTGGTAGAGTGCAGGATCCACATTTCTGACCCAGAGCCTGCCAAGATTAGAGTACTAAAGTGAATGAGTTCAGGTTAGTTAGGAATTCATGTATACTGTCTCTTTGGGTTGGGAAAGAGCTTCATAAACGTAAGTATTATTTGCCATGGCCTTTTACTTGGTGCATAACAACCATTTACTTGGTAGTAGGCAATTCTGAAGTAGAAATTCCCTGGTGTGAGTGAATTGGACTTCAAACCACTCAGGATGGAGAATGGAGTGAGGAAGCATCTGATCTCTTCTCCCAAGTAACAAGCAATAGGACAAGCAGAAAAGACCTCAAGCTGTGCCAGGGGAGGTTTAGACTGGATATTAGGAAAAATGCTGGATCAGTGCTCAGGCACTGGACCAGGCTGCCCAGGGCAGTGGTGGAATCACCATCCCTGGGAACATTCACAAATGTTCTGTGCAGATGAGGCCCTCAGTGACATGGTTTAGTGGTGGTCTTAGCAGTCCTGGGGTAATGGTTGGACTTAATCTTAAAGGTCTTTTCCAACCTAGTTGATTCTACGATTCAAAACTCTGCATGGAATGGGAATAGGTGAGATTGATTTTGGCTGAGCCTATTTGGGGCACAGATAACTAAGGATCGGACTCTGACACAAGGCTACTGGTAAAGGTACCTGGTGTTAACCACTTCAGTAAGCCTGCTCCGGGTATCCTCTGGCAGGGTGAACGTCTCCCATGTCAGGGCAGCTGCTGGCATCTACAGCCACCTGCTGGCTTGTTCCCGAATCCTGGAGCTCCCCGCATGAGCTCCTGCAAGGCACAAAGACAAGACTGGGTGTCAATCTTTCATACCACCAATATCTTTGTAAACAAGCCTCACCCATTTAATTTGAGAGCAACTTCTCATTCTGAACAGATCGTCTGAGATCTTTATTGCCTTTGTGTTCTCTCTCTTTTTATATACGTTCTCTCCTTTTATGTGAGCCAAGAGTTACCTCCAAACACTTGAGGCTTATTAGCTAATGAAAACATTGCAGTTTTGCAAAGCAGATTAGTATAATTATGCCCATTTTACAGCAGAGAGTACTGAGAAATAAGTCAGGTGAAGGTTCAAGGTCTCTCAGGAGTATTATTGGTATGGGCTCTTGTCTGACTCTTCTTGCCTGAACAGTTTGGTACTTGCTGCTGTTTCTTGAGATGCTGGCCCTAAGGAAGGAGACAAAAGCTGCGAGACAAATATGCTGCACCCTTTTAGGAAGTATATGAGGAGTTCCCAGAAATCATTTCACCCTCTGTCCTTCCCTACTGCTGAATTTAGCTTTACAGGAGTGCAAGCAGGGAAAGGCAGAGCTATGAAACCTGACTTAAATTCAGTGTATTGCAGATGTTCTTCAGGTTGTACCTTGATTAAATGAATTTGCATAGCCAGTATTAGCTATACCCTAATGTCTTTAGAAAGGTGTTAATCAATTAAGAAGTGCTTAGAAAATGAGATGCAAACAAAATAAACTAAGGCATAGGAAGGCATGCTTAAGGGAGTGGCTCCTTTAGAGGTTTCTTCAGCTTGCTGTCTGTGGATAAGGTGCCATCCTGCTCCAGCAAGGCCTTATCAACATGAGCCAGTAAGTGACTGCTTTGATTTTAGCAATAAAAGATATTATCTGTGCTTCTTGATTTCTTTTAAATTAACATGCAGCTTTCTGTAGTAATGTTACAGGTTTCATAAACAAACCCAGCAAAGGTAACAAATGTTAATTGGGCTCACTAACTTCAAGTTAATATGATAATCAATGGCTTTTGTTTTCTCCATTTCCATGTTGCTGACTGTGCCATTTCTTCCCTGTTCCTCTGTTCAGTGCCTTAACCCTTCAGTTACCCCACTGATTTATCTTTTCTATCAAAAAAAAAGCACCTTCCTGGCCCACTATGTGTCCCTTTACATCTCTGGCCTTTGGTGCTATTCAAATGAATGAAACAGGAACACCTTATCCTAGAGCTCTGGCTTACTACAAAAAAAGAAGGGGATGAAGAAACAGAGTGTGGTGGCAATAAGGAAATAAAACAGATGGATCTGTAATCTGTATTTCAGTTTCAGTCTCATCTATCCACAGATATCCTTCTAGTAATATCACTGAAAGTCTACTTCCTAGCCAAGGGAGCCTGCACAGCATTCTCATCCTCTGATGTATCTGTTGCCCTTGACACTGCTATTCAATGTTTGTCCTTTGATACCTGGTCACATTGGATGTTACGACTTTTCAATGCTCCTTTCTCTCAGTCTGGACTTTCAACCATCTCCCCCCAGAGCTTTGCCTCCCCCCTCAAAGAACAGCTCCCTCAAAATTTCCTGCTGCCCCTTCCCCTCCACCCTCAGTTCTCTGTCCTTGGGTAACCTCTTCTGCTGAGGTGGATGTAATGATCACCCCTGTGCCAACTACATTTAAAACACTTATCTACTGCTGATCTTCCACACATGGGTTTCACATCTCACTGCCTCCATAGTGCTACATCCTGACAGACAGCTTGCTACCAGGCTCACTGAGATCCAAAAAAAGGAACTCATAAAAAAACAAACCCAACAACACAGCTTTCCCTAGCTCTCTGGCCAGCAGCCAGTGTGTGTGTCAATTTTAATGGCTTTGATATTTAAATTTAGCTCTCTCTTACTGCTGATACCATTTGGCAGAAGTGTACTTACAATATTATTCCCAAAGCTATTCACCAGGCGTCTCTTTGCTACGCTCCAACCTTCCCAGGAATTCATTCCTGGGAATAAAAAACTGTAGGGATGAGCAAACCAACAGTGCTGTCCTAGCTGGCTAAAGAGATGATTTTCTTCTTTTCACTCTCTTCTTTCTGTTCTTTGCATGTTTGTGTGTCAACAAACATCTCCTAGCCAAGAACTGCCTTTGATTGTTCATGACTTATCTTCAGGCTTCTTGGATAATTAATGTGTGTTTTTGTGGTTCTTTCATAGAATTAGAAGGGAGAAAAAAGGAATTTTAGTAACAGGACAGTATGACTACACAGCTGCACTGCTGTATAGTATATATAATTAGTACTACTGAAATGTGGTATCAGGAGCAGATGTATTATCTGCCTGAGAATGTTGTACTTCTAGCTCCCAGATTTGACACTAGTTGTGCCAGGTAGTGCAGACTGGGCTAAAGATTTCCACATGTTGAACGTGTTGGTTTAAGAAGAAAAAAACCCTAAGTTACCTCAGGTACACTCAATAAAGTTCTTTATTTTAGTTTGGGGTTGGGTTTTTTTTAGGAAGCTTCAATACTTCAGAGCTGTGCAAATGTGACCTTCATGTATTTCTTAACTTACGAATTCTTCTTTATTAAGGTTCCTAATTTCTCTGTTGAGAAGGATCTGAGAAATTATTACTATTCAATGATTAATCAATTTATTAGAACTCAATTCAACCTTTTAAGACATTACAGAATGTAGAAGTTGCGCAACTGGGATTCAAGTGATTCTACGTAAATTTAGGTGCTTTTGACCAAAATACAGGTCCTATCGGTTGTAATAAACAAGTAAGTGCCTTTTTAAAACAGAGAATATTAGTGGCAGCTACTTAGATGTTGCCAAAACCTGAAGATGTTTGTCATGCCTTGATACCACCATCTATGTCATTACAGCACCCAGACACTTTGAATTTGGACAGAAACCCCACTGAGATTCAGGTGATGATTTTTTTTGCCCTTCCAATTTCCCCCACAGGATTTCATATGATGTATATGCTGACATGTGATTCCCTACAGCTGTGGCTGAGTCTGCCTCTTTTCCATAGTAGCTCAGAAGTGAGGCATTCAGCTAGATCTAATTCTTCTCCACTTATTATCCCAGGACACTGGAAGTGGCTAGGAAAGCACTGTAATCACCCCAGCTGCTCAGGGAAGTTCTAAACTCTATTTTCCATTAAATGCTTAAATACTAATAAGAGTTGGGCACAACACCCACTTTTTGACTGCTCTAATGACCATACTGTAGTATCACACTCATTTGCTTTCCTTGCCCCGCTGAATATTCAGGTATACCATACAAAGCAGGACTTCCAGAGGGAACCAGAATATCCTGCAGCACTTGGGCAAAGTGGCAGGAAAGAGAAGGGAGTTCTGGACTTAAATGTTCTCCAGAATAATGGCACCTGGGCTTTGGTGTCCCACATCCTGGGAGCCTTACCCGGGCCTGGATGATTATCCTCGCCATTTAGGGAAATGGTCACCTCCTGGCTGTCCTTTGAAAGTGCTGATGACTTTCATTCTATCTCACAGGAGTTCTGCCCAAGAGGAGGATTACACCTCAGTATGTGCAGAATCAGAAGTGTAAACGGTTAGAACACAGGAGCTAAAGCTCCCATTAATAAAGTCTTGTAACTAGTTAATTACAGATTATCTAGATAACCTTTAATGAAAGACTGCAAAAATGTCTCCTTTTTCACTTGTTCCCTAGCCTTTTTTTTGTTCATGAAAGCCTTACAGAGATGCAGATGAGATCAGCTCCTTTTAGCTCCTTAGAACTACCTAGCAAGAATTTTAGCAGAGGATAGTTAAAAAATGCTAATTACATTAATTTTATGTAGTAAATTTGGCAGATACAAAACCTCATTGTTTCTTCCAGCAACAGCTCAAGATTGGTATTTAGCTGTGAAATTACCTATGACTCGTTCTGTATTGCATCATTTTCTTTCAGTTTTTGTTCACAATATAATCCAAAACCTGTTAAATTTAGCAGGCACTTTATTGTTGCTTCTGTTGCTTAACTGGAGTGTTTTTCTCATGGTCCTTTAAAAGCTCTGCAGAAATACAAGCAGGAAAGTTTCAATCTGAGAAGACTGCTTGATGTAAATTAATTATTGAACACATATTAATATTCATAAGGGACCCAATTATCTGTGAAAGTCATCGTGATCTTATTTGCTGATTAGCAAAGAAAACACTGCCATGGTATTTTCGTTAAGCTCACCTTGTTGACCGAAATTTGTGTCAATGAGCAAGTGCAAGGTTAAGATGGAGTAAGAGGATAATTTCACTGGTGATGTCGTAACTGCTGAAGTAAAAGTGACAGAAATGCAACTGAGTGATTTTTCAGCAGGTAAGAATCCTAGTCATAGGATAATTTAGATTGGAAGGACCTCTGGAGGCAGGTTCCTTCAATTCCCCCATCAAAGCTGGGCCAAATTCAAAGTCGCATGCCTCAGGGTCTGCAGGGGACACTGCAGTTAACAAAACATGAGATGGGAAATGCTTGAGCAAATGGGGTAGATATAATTAGGTATAAAAGGCATACTTAAGGGTGGTTCTTTGGAGTTTCATCCAGGGGAAAACTGGCTTTGAAGTCACCAAGCTGTCCTGTTTGGCCAGGTAGTGTTAAACGTAAGCAAGATAAAAGGCTGAAAGCTTATCTAAAATGAGTGCTTTAATTCTGACCACAAGGAAAGGTCTCCCAAATTTTGCTAAAATAAACCTCACACTTCCTAGGAAAATGACTTTGGTTGTTTGGGAACAGCCATGAGTGTAATAAGTAGCAGCTGGGCCTTCTCTAACAATTTAATCAAATAGCCAGCATCCTTCAAAACTTGGATCACTTACTGGAGCACTGCAGAAGTGGCTCATAGGAGATACCTGCCTCCGGTCTCCAGGAATAAGAAGAGAGCTTCACAGCACGAACACGTAAAGAGAGTGGCAAAGCTGCACCATTGTCTCCAGGAGAGCTGGCATGTGGTGAACCACAGCCCTACACACAGAAACATCACCATATAATGAAGCGCAGCTCTTCCTGCTCACAAGCACATCTCTTGGTGCATACTAACACTGCTCTCCATCACATATATTAAAGCCAGAGAGTACTGGTATATTCCTACTCCTGAGAAGGGTCAGCACCTTGATATTTTATCCAGGATGTATTCAACTTTGTTACAGCTCTGCCCACTGCTGTTTATCTGACTCACGCTGAGGGTGAGAATCAAAGGCAAGTGACGTGCTTGTGGGAGCTGGCCTTGTTCAGCAGGGCTCTGCCATCTTCAGGCAATTTTCAGGCTGCCTCTACACAGCAAGAAAAGGCTGAGTTGGTTTCTATGATGCAAAAAAAAAAAAAAAAGTACTCAGTATCTTCCAGGAAAGTAAAATTGGATTTGGTTCCTACCCTTTCCGCACTGAGGCTGTTGCCATTTTCGCAGCTGGGTTAATTTGACAGCTGGAAAAAAAAAAAATGATCATGATGTTTTTGGAACCACTTGGAAATTTTTTTCCCCTATCTGCATTTTTTTGTAAGCCCCAAAATTAGAAGATCAGTAATCTTAGAGATGTGACACTTTGTGAATGCCTAATTTCTCTTTATATTTGCTGCTTATTTTCCTCCCCATGGTTTGCTTTCTGCTTTGAGCCACCCATGCCAGCACAGCCTTACTGACTGTGTGTGTTTCATTATTCTAATCTGATGTATTGGTGATGAAATTTTTGGGATCTGCCAGCTATTCTATTGTCTCATGAAGTGCTCGAACGCTTGCAGTGAAGGATTGAAAAGACTGCCAGTCATAAAAGCCTGTAAAAGCCTGATTAAAAGGTTGTCTTTCCAGTGGCAGCTTTTGGATTCACATAAGAGCCATAGGCTGCATTTTTTGTACTTTCTGAAATGTTTATCAAAGGGTACATTGATTATTTTTGTAACTCCAAGATAAGATTTGGAGGTCCCAACATAAGGCCTCTCCAACATAAGATTTATCAAAAGAACTGTGGGTACAAAGGGAGGATTCTGAATAATATTAATTTGTCATTATAAAATGACTAAGTTCATCTCAAATAGTGTCTTCTCCATGCTTTTTTGAATATAAAGCATCAGAAGATTTAGACTACCTCCTGGAGAAGATTAGCTGGAATAGCCCCTCAGTCAGGGTCTGTTTTCAGTTGAATGGGAATGTGCATAGCCAGAGCTAAGGAAGATAAATTCAGAAAGGTTTTAGAGGTTCAAAAGAAAGAGGACGATGTGTGGCCCATAAGCTATGAACACTCACCACAGGAAAGCCAAGGAAACACTTATGGGTGTGATCTTGAGAAGCTGGTCCTTTCTGGGTCCAGGTCTTAGGGTCACACACACCCACTTTTACAGGTGATTAAATTTGCTACCAGTTTTGGTGCTTCTGCCTACACAGAAACAGGATTTATGCAGGATTGTTTTAACTACACAAGCTTAGACTAAGAACTAAGAACACACCTAATCTGTATCAGCAATTTTCATTCAAGTAGAAAAAAAAAATCTGTGCAAGGCCTTGCATTTGATGACCCACTTGAGCAACAAGGGCAATACTGATTAATAACATCTCAAACGCAAAGCTATTCCATAGCCTTGAAATGTTTTGAAGAGTTGACTTCCAGTTAGCAGTTTGCTCCTCAACAGTCACAGAGTAAACTAGAACATCAAAATACATTTCTGTTTTTCCTCAAGGACCGGAGAACAATGTGTGCAATTATGCACAATGACACAAGACTGAAAGGAGAATTGCTCAAATTGATCTTCAAAGCAGAAAATCTGGGCACAACAGGCAAGCAAAGACACTGAAAAGGCCTAAGGAAGAAAGAAGTGAGAATCAGCAGAAAGTCTGAAAACGGACTAGAAGTCACAAACACGTTTGGCACTGCTACAGCAAAGGCAGGATGCACACAAGGGGAATTTCTACAGAGCTAGTTAGAGCAGGGTGCCCAGACAAGCTGTGGTTGCCCCATTCCTGGCAGTGTTCAAGGCCAGGTTGGACAGGGCTTGAAGCAACCTGCTCTAGTGGAAGGTGTCCCTGCCCATGGCAGGGGGCTGGAACTGGATGGCCTTTAAGGTCCCTTCTAACCCAAACCATTCTATGGTTCTATAGGTGGAAAATTTCAAACTGCAATAAAATGAAACATCCATTTACTTCAGGAAAAGGAAAACAGTTTTCACAGGTGACAATAAATCAAATTAAAACAGGATTGTCTTGCAGCTGCAGGTTCTCCTTTAGGTCTCTGACACACATGCAGTGACAGATTAAATCTGGTTGGCTGAAACTGTACTGTTGCTGATTGTCTGCCAAACCTCTGAGGCAGAGCTAATGCCACAGTGTTTTAAATCCAAAAGCACACTAACCCTAAACACAACTTGCCATATCACAGTAGCCTGAAAACTGTGGTGGTCCAAAAACTGCTTCACTTGCCATTTACACATCCCACGGCAGGGCGAGGCACATATGTGGGGTGGGCTGAATCTGCCATCAGTTGTAATCTGGCATCACATTGTGTTCAAGCATTAAGAATAGTTCTGCTGCTGCCAGAGAAGAGGAAACTTCAGCCAAGAAATTTCACTGGACAAGACAAAACTGAGAAAAAATGTTCAGTCTGACCTGTGAGGAAAAACATACTGAAAACACGAGCCAGCAAAGCTGGAGTTTGTGGGTGAGATCAGTTCTGTAAAAGGTATTAATTTATCTTTAAATATTTAGCCCATCACCTGTATTTGAGAACAGGGTGTAAAGGCATCAAGAAATACCCTTATTCAAGTAACTAACTCTTCTTCTTTATAGCACAGAAACCATTCCAACCTTAGCTAATTACTTCACTCACAGCACAACTTCCCACTAATTCAGACACTCCTTGCACAGTTTGCTTGTCATTACAGTCCCTTACATGGTTTTCAATGTGAAATTGAGACTTCTCCAGGACCACCTCTTTGGTTCTGGTTCCAAATAACAAGATGCCTCCTGGTGTCCTAGGCTGGGGAAGTTAATGGACAGACGTCACTTGACCTTAATGACCATGTTTTGTCTTTGTTACTCTCTCAGTAAAGTCCCAGCACTGTTTTCTCAGACCAGATCTCCCAGGAATATTTGCATTGCTACAGCCCATTAGGTAATTATAGACCAAGATTCCTCAAATGCCACAACATGGCCTATGCTCAGGTTGTGAGTAAATCAGCTTATAAGGCCTAGCAGGAGTGAGGAACAACCAAGACCACAGGGAAAGCTTGGTCAGCAGAGCAGTAGGTACTCTGCATAGGAGGATTGGCTGCTGGGCAACAGGGAGCATCCTGTGTCCGCCCCCCTGAGGGGCAGGCTCTGTGATCCCTCCTTATCCAATCCTACTGCTCCTGGCTCTCCTGTCAAGAGCACCCTGAGGCCCTCTCTCAGTCCCTTTCGATGCCTGTATTTGGCCTTTTGGTAAATAGCAAAGGATGAGGTTCATGTCACTGACATGTACTGCTTTTAGTAGAAGCACTTCAGCTTTGGCACAGAAGCTGTTGTCCAGCAACACGTTGCTGCCTTCTGTCTTGAAACATCCCAGCCAGCGGGACTAGAGGTGGTGTAGGCAACAAAATATTAAAAAGAAAAGAATAAAAGAATAAAATATTTCATTTGGAAGGGATCTACAATGACCATCTAGTACAGCTGAGCTTCTTGACTTTGGCAGGCCTGAGGAGTGAGCCCATGCGAACCACATGAAGTTCAACAAGACCAAGTGCAAGGTCCTGCACATGAGCTGGGGAAATCCCATGTTGATATAGGCTGGGAGATGAAGGCACTGAGAACAGCCCTGCAGTGAATGACTTAGGGATGCTGGTAGACCAGCAGATTAAGGGAGGTAATTCTCCCCCTCTACACCAATCTGGTGAGACCCTATCTGAAGTAACTGTTCAGCTCTGGAGTCCTCAGTACAAGAAAGACATGGACCTGTTGGATCATCTCCAAAGGAGGGCCAGAAACTTGGTCAGAGGGCTGGAGCACCTCTCCTATGAGGAAAGGCTCAGAGAGTTGGGGTTCAGCATGGAGAAGGCTCCAGGGAGACCTTACTGTGGCCTTTCAGCACTTGAAGAGGGCTTATAAGAAAGCTGGCAAAAGACATTTTATTAGGTCTGTAGTGACAGGACAAAGGGCAATGATTTTAAACTAAAAGAAGGTAAATTCAGATTAGCCATGAGTCAGAAATTGTTTACTATGAGGGTGGTGAAATGCTGGAACAGGTTGCCCAGAGAAGTTGTGGATGCCCTGTCACTGGACGTGTTCAAAGCCAGGCTGGATGGGGCTTTGAGCAACCTGATCCAGGCAGGGAGGTTTGAGCTAGATCTTTAAAGGTCCCTTCTAACCCAAATCATTCTATGATTTTTTACATTGAAGCTCAAAGTGTAACAATAGAGAGTAGATGGGTAAGAGATGTTAATAAAAGAAAAATGCTGTAGACAATAAAATGGAAGCAGTCCCCTTTCTGTTGGCTTTTCTTTGTCCATCTGATGTGTTTGCTTAGTTTTTCTCATCTTGAAGTTACTGTATATTGGGAGCTCTATTCACAAGCTCGGGTATTTGCTCATGGAGGAAGCAGTCCCTCCCTTTTCCCAGTTATTCCACTGGCAGAGTCATCTTCATCTTCATTTCATTGTGTTAGCTATCAAGAAGCAACAAACTCATTTTTCCCTTTGAGAGTCAAAGCTGCATTTTGCTTAAAGGCCACCAGCTAGCATTTTCAAATAGGATGTTGTTACACTCACCTGCTACTCTTCTTGTACCATCAAATCTGACATTCACAGGTGTCTCTGCTGCAGTCAAGTACTTAGGTTTTCCATTTGGGATTTTGCCTACTAATTCATTAATTAATATCCCTTGGCATTTTATAGATGCCTACAGGGTATCTCAGGGGCATGAGGAGAACTCCTTCCTTCATTGACTCTATTTCCCTGTCTGACTGATAAACCGCTGGTTTTGAAACCATGAGAGAATACAAATTCATAGAATTAAGTTCCAAGGGGGGAGACACAGTCATTTACACTGTCACGTATAATACAAACCATTTTGTGTCTACTGGTTACCTCTGTATTTAACCCAATTACTTGTGTTGAATACAAGCATAGTCTGTCATTGGCTAAAATACATACAACGTGACACCTCATTTACAGACATAAAGAGATGGCTTTATGATCTCTCTTGAGAGTTGGTGCCAGGCATTAATCACAGTCAGCATGAAACATTTGGGCCTTATTCCTCATTTGGATGACTCTGGATCAGTTGGCAGCCACTGCTGCTTGATTAAAAAAACCCATTGGCACACGGGATTTTTTACCCAAAGGTGTTTCTCTGCTATAATCTAGCCATTTCTCACTCATTTTTTTGACAAATTCAGTGCAATGAATTTCTTAAATCTCCTAGTGATTTTTCCAGTGTAAAAAGTCAGCTGTGGTGCTCTTTTGCTCATTTTTTTCCAATTTTTAAGGTTGATTTTTGCCCTTGAGGACACAAATTCCTACAGGCCATTCTGGTATCGCTGTTGGTAATGCCATATACAGCAGTCATTTTACTTTTCCTACTCACTCTGCTGATTTATACATCCAATGATTACCACTTTAATACCTCTTGCTACAGCACTGTCAAGGATATGCATGTTTAGTGATTTTCACAATTGCTTCTTTCCATGACACAGTCCCTCATTTTATACTGGCTGAAGTGTCAAGAGAGCTTCGAAGACCTGTGGCCCTAAAAATACGTAAAGCATGAGATGAGCCTCAAGTACCCATGAGGTCTTTTACAAAAATTATGCATCAAGTTCTTAAAACTCAAAAGCAGAATAAAACGCTAAAGACACAGACTGAGAAGGTGCAATAAACAGAAATTAGTGATTAAACTGAAAATAAGTTAAACTCCTTTACTCAATCAACTCCTGTCTGACAGCTTTGGCCCGTTTAGCAGTGCAGCTGTGCATCAGACCCCATTGAGAGATGAAATAGGGAGTTTTGGCTTGTAATTTAGCAAATCCCCACAAGAGGGGGATACGAGCCACAAGTAAAGCCTGCTCGTGAAACGCCAGCGGGTTGGTCTGCAATGGGGTATACACGGGAGCTTCGCTTACACGGTAGAGCTACTGGAGGTGGAGATCCAGCCCCAGTGGGCGCTGCTTAGGCATCCCTACTTCAGCTGTTTGAGGATTCAAAAGTAGTCGAAACACTTTCTGTATAAAATAGATGACAATTACATGTATGGAAGTAAACAGTGACAATATTTTATTGGTCACTTCGGCTTTTGAGACAATAGAAAACAAAGTCTGACTTTAGGAAGAAACACAGCAACACAGCAGTAGGATTTGTGTCCATGCCTCTAAAGGAAAACAACCCCAGATATTTCTTTTTCACAGGGAATGGTACCAAGTCCAAACTACAGCTGTCATTTGAGCCAGCATTGTACACGACTGCACCATACAGATCAGTCTTAAAACTTAATCTTATCAAATCATACTTAAATGCACATTTAACCCCTTTTCTTACCTTTTAGGACTTTGTGTGGGCTTTTTCCAAGCCTGAGAGTTTAAAACAAGGAAGTCTAAAGCCTGAGTCTTGTAAAATCTGTTTTATGTGTTGATTTTCAATGCAGCTCCATTCTCTTTTTCTCAGTACTGAGTGCTTAGCCCAGAAGTACTTCTGTAATCAGGACACTGTGATATCTCTGTATCTGCAGAACAAAAAGTTCAATCTTAGGGCCCTGTTGGAATCCTTTATGGACAATCTAGCACGTGTCTATCGCTCCAGCACTGATGGAAGCTGAAAGCAAAAAGCATTCTTGAAAATCATCCTAACTAAAACACCCTGTTAAAAAAAAAACTGTACACCAGGTAATTGCCGCATACGAATTACCCTGTTAAATAACACCCTGAGATTTCACATTTAGGTTGTTGGAACTGGATGATCTTTGAGGTCCCTTCCAACCCAAACCATTCTATGATAAAGTGCTTCCTAAAAGGGTTTCATGTGGGAGTATTCTTCTACACTTTGACAATGGGGCTCTAGAACACGTAGACAATGACCATGCTCTACCATGGGTAGAGAGCTCATGGAGACACTGCTTATCCGACCAGTCCTTGCTGTGTACCTGCTAACCACCATGGTTTTTGCTTGCTTTCAGTGAATGAGTCAAGGAAGGGAGATTACCCAAAGTGTGAGTCCTCTTGGTCTTCCTCCAGTCCCCTGTGCCCATGTTTATGTATCTTGTTCTGGGCAGTGAGGATACAGACAGCAGCTCTACAAAACCTGCTCTCTGTGGGTATAGAGAGGATGTCCATTGCCTGCCCCACACATCACTCAGATGTAGGCCAGGAAGGACCATCTGTGAGCTTGATTCTGCTCATTAGCCTTGACTAAGCTGAAAGAGGCTGGCAATCTTGAAAACCAGACTGGTCTTATATGCACAAGAGCAAATTTGGGGGCCAAGGACCTGCCCTAAGCTAGAGGAGTCAGGATGCATGGAATATGGACTTGGCATTGACAGAAACACATGGAAGAAGCTGGAGCAGAGACAGAGCTAGAGCAGGACATAGGTGGAGATAGGTGGCTGTCTTTGCAATCGTAGCAGTGCAGCAGGCTTGAGCCATGGGTGTCTCTCATCCAAGGGCAAGATTGACATAGAACAGCTGAGTGAATTTGAGTCACTTTGATCAAGAAAAATCATTAAGATGTGAAAAACCACATGAGCTAAAGCCTCACCAACAGAGAAAAGTAACAGAGGTGAAGCTGTTGAAGTTGTAAAGCATCATAAGGATTTGAGCATAGTTCTAATATAAAAAGTGTAAAATCCTAAAATCAAATCAGGAGGCCAGAATGTTGTCCAGGTGTGCAACAGCCAATTCACACGCAGAGACAAGGTGTTTGTTTATTCCAAGTCTGCACAAAAAAAGGTGTGCTATGTGGTATCCCGCAAAGCTAGCACATCACCCCATGCAAAATTCACACTTATACAGAGTTCAGTTCAGGTTGGTAACTCCCCATAACCCTTCCACCATTAACAACTGGTCAGCTCATTGAATAAGTTTACATCATGGACCCCTTGCCATGCATGCTCAGGGAAGAGTTTTTTCACTCAGGCAGGAGTCTTTTGACCCGTAGACGTGATTTTTAGCATTAGAATGAGGCTATAATGAAAACACTCCCTAATGGGACTCCCTAAAGGACTCCCTGATCATGTGGTGCTGACACATCAAAGTTATATCTTGCTGATTGATGTCCATGTGTTTTCAAGATGTACCAGTCTTCAAGGACAGTCTCTCCTGATTAGAGATCCGTTGGGCCTGTTTCTTCATCTGCCTACACAAGCCCAAAGCCTCCTCCATGGGTACCAGTTCTCTTCACTGGTGTTGTTTTCAGATCATCCTGACCTTTTAGGAGGTCTTTGTATTTGTTCAGGCTGTTCCATAGTAATACAAGCTCCAATTTTTTCACTATATGCCTACAACAAGACGCAGCTCAGCAACACTGCAGATGTCTCTGCTCCACAGAGCAATGGAGATCAGCCTCTCCCCACCTGACCGATGCTCTTCTGAAAAGCAAAGAGCCACAGGGCATCTTACCCAGGGCAGTGAGCATGTGCTTAATCGAGCAGTTTACTAGTCCTAGCTCTGTATTTGTTATGTATTTTGGCTGAGAAATTTTTGAGCTTTGCTTTCCAATTGTGTTTATCCTGCTTGAAGAGCTTTTGCTTAGAACAGTAAGTTACCCAAAGTGGTCTCTGGTACTCTCATCTGGTCAGGGTGAACTGCTGTAAAGATCAGTTTCATCAAGGAGGTGAAGTGAGAGCTGAGAAGTGCCACTAGATTAAGACTGGACTTGAGAGGAAAATATTCAGTTCTCCGATCCAAAAGAGTACTTGTCTGGGGGTACTTTTTCTGGTTTTTAAAGATTCAGAAGCCATTGCACCTTCTAATGAAAAATTAAGGGTAGATGCAGAAAAGACTGAAAAGAAACCTGGAAAATGGGTGACAGGGAAAATATACAGAACTGAGAGGAAAAACTTACCTCCACCTTGGGATGAATTTTCAGAAGATTTTATCACATGCTCCTACAGTGTAAAGAGACAATCTTTGGTTTACAAATCAACCAACTTGATAAATGGGACTTGCCAACTGGGTGGCTTCTCTCCACCAAGTTTTGCTGTAATTACAGGTTCTCCCCATTTTTACTGCTATTTCCCACCCATAATTTTCAGTCATAAACTTTACCTATCCTTGACATTTATAGATGTCAAATGACTTACATATATAATACTTCTATTGGCAAGCAATTTTTTTTTTGTTATGCAGTCACGTGGAATTTAGTATGTGGCAATTAACCCTTGGGTTTGCTCAGCAGTAGGAAAAGCTTGCTCATAGCAAAGTTGATGTGGAGTAATCAATACCTAGTAAGTTGTTTTGGGGTTTTTGTTTACATGTTGCCCAGGGAAGCTGTGAATGCTCCATCCCTGGAGGTGTTCAAGGCCAGGTTGGACAGAGCCCTGAATGACATGGTTTAGTGTGAGGTGTCCCTGCCCATGGCAGTGGGGTTGGAACTGGATGATCTTAAGATCCTTCCCAACCCTAATTATTCTATGATTCTACGATTTGCTAAGCTGTCTCTGCTGTTCCCTTCTGGTTCCCTGGCTTGTCTTCTCCAGCTGCCCTTGAGAACTCGCCTGCTCTGAAATTCTAGTGCATGGACACTGTTGATGTGGAATTTGCAATTCCACCTCATGGGAATTCATAAATATAAGCTGCTTTCCTGTTCATGAATTTAGCGCACCTCTTGCTTCAGAATTGCTCCATACTGAACTTGAAGAGTTGGTTGCCTTCTGGATGAATGTAAACTCCAGCTATGTAGAAACAAACTGCTCACAGAGCAAACGACAGAGAAATGGCCTCTGGGATCCATAGTAGGTCTGCTGTAAAGAGAAGAAACTGTTTGGATTGCCTGTGGGGATAGACACTAGAGAGGCTGATTTCCTGTTCAATGCTGTGTAACTGTACAAAAAGAAAGTTTAATTTTTTTCATAAATGCCACTGAAATATCAACATGCTTCTCCCCCCTGCTTCTGCCTTCTGGTTCTTCAGCCTCTGCTTCCCTTCCCAGTACCTGCAGCATGCCTGCTGTCTATTAACTGTATTCCTATGTCTCCACCTTCACACTGCAAGCCTGAGGACTATATATGCCTATAGTTGCTTGGGTAAGCATTTGGCTGTCTTCAGCAAGGCACGGGTAGGAAATGTCTAGGAACGGATATTCAAAATCAGAGAAAACCACAAAATACCCTCACTGCTGGTGTGAGGATTGGGATTTTAAAAACATGAAGTTAGCCTTTCCCTTTCCTTCCTGCTGTCACAGTCTGCTGACTTATGACGATGGGTATCATTGACTGAACACTTGCCCACTCTAGTAAGAAAAAGAAGCAAACTCATTGATAATGTATTAAAAAATCAGTGTTTTATCTAAGAAATAAAATGGTAGGAAAACAGACAACCTACAAGGAAAACAACCAAGAAGGCGACAAGTGCTTATAGATGTAGCTGTTGGGGCAGACTGTGTCCCCTGTATGCACTGTATTCCTGTATGTAATCCTGTATGTTGCCTGTACTCCTCAAGACCAAATAACTTTACAGTCTGGACTCCTCAGGCATCACAGCTCTGCCCCAGAGAGGTGCCCTCTTAGACACTCTGTGCTATCAGACTGCAAAGAACGTAATAGCTACTGCCTTTCATTCCCTAATTATGTATTAATGAAACAAATTATTTTACAATCTTCCTGCTGAGATAGAGAGAAAATATTGCTAAACATCCTTTTGAACGCTCTATAAATACAGGGTGTCATCAGGATGAACTTTCATGATGTGCTGCATAATATTTTGAAGTTCTTAAGCTTGTTCTTGGTCCTTGATCCTTAGAGAAATTCCAATTCATGGATTACACATATATTTGATGTACTTTTCTGTTGCTCTGAAATTAGGCTATTTTTTTTTCCAACATCTATTAAAAACACAGGGAAAACATCTGCAGAGTTCTTCATTGTGATCAGTCTTGAAAACATTCAGCTGCACTGCACTACTTTGTCAGAAAAATGAATTAACCACCCAACTCCTCAATATAATGAAATCCCCACATGAAGAACAGTTGTATTCCCTCACACACCCACTGGCATATGCACAACAATTACAGCTTTTCATGCAAGTGGCCTCTTGCTTTAAAGCTCTAATTCTGAATAATTGCAGTTTCATATAATCGTCCTTCTCAATTGCCATTGCCCTGGTTTTGGCCGGGGTACAGCTAGTTTTCTTCCTGGTAGCTGGTGCAGTGCTGTGTTTTGGCCTTAGTCTGAGGACAATGCTGACAACACACTGATGTTTCAGTTGGTGCTGTCCATGGACAGCAAGGGTCACTCATGCAGTACATGCTGGTCAGTTATGTGGTATGTAACCAATAGGTCTGATACCTCAGATACTGGTCCTGATGCACATGCTGCTTGGATAGTTGTGACTATGAACTAGGGGCATCTCTTGTGTTTTATGGGTCTGCATCTTAAGGTGGCACGCAGGGGACACCTGCTTCTGCACAACTGGCAAAGTCTTCACCAAGTGATTTATTTTGTATACCCTGGAGTTCAGTCAACCATTTCTGGTTATTCCATCATCACATCACTGCCCTGCCAGCTGCTGCTTGTCAGCATTTTGCTGAATGAAGCTGCTTCTGGAGAAGGGCTAAGATCAAAGCCCGCTGAACTCCAGCCTCTTCTCTGGTGTCTGTCTTCGTTGTGCAGTTGTTATGGAATTTTAGAAATTCTTGCTTCAGCCTGTTCATATCTGCTACTGTCAGATTTAAATCATTAAAAGGGTTGGGGTTGTTCAGCCTGGAGAAGAGAAGGCTCCAGGGAGACCTTAGAGCAGCTTCCAGTGCCTAAAGAGGAACTGCAAGAAAGCTGGAGACAGACTTTTAACAAGGGCCTGTAGGGACAGGTCAAGGGGAACAGCTTAAAACTGAAAGAAGGGAGATTCAGATTAGATATTAGGACGAAATTCTTTACTGCGATGGTGGTGAGACATTGGAACAGGCTGCCAAAGAAAGGTGAGGATGCCCCATCCCTGGCATTGTCCAAGGCCAGGTTGGATGGGGCTTTAAGCAACGTAATGGTCTATTGGAAGGTGTCACTGCCTGCAGCAGAGGGGTTGGAACTAAATGATTTTGAAGGTCCCTTCCAATCCAAACCACACTATGATTCTATGAAAAGACGTTTCATAGTAGTCATCTTGACAGTGCTTTACAAGTGAAGCAAGATGTTTCTTATTCTACAAACAAAATTCTTGACAAAGTTCAAGAACGCACATAAATGCAAGCCAAACAGATTGTTTTGTAAAGCTGGAAAGTAAGGCCACAGCAAAAAAAAATCAGTTCTATCTAATTCTCCACAGCAATCCCTTCTCATTTACAGTAAAGTAAGCAACAAAAGATAGCTCTTATGCCAACAGAGAAATGCAAATATGTTGAGCTCTTCACTGTTGCCAGGACAGTGAAAGTAAATGAAGAGGTAGTGGAGAGCCACTTTTGTTGTCTTGGCTGGAAACACAGAAATGTTCTGGTAACATCTGAGCTTGAACAGATGCATCTGTGAGTGCTGCTCTCAAACCCAGAATCCTGTAATTGCTTCAATTCCCAGTACTAACCACTCTGAATTGAACTACCAAGAAAAATGACTCACAAATCACACAATCCCGACAGACATTTTGCATGAGTATTTCATCAACAGAAGGTGATTTCTTGGGGTGGAAGGAGAGCAAGCATGCAGTTTTATTGGTCATCTAATAAGATCTAATTACAGCCTGCAGCTGTAATTAGAATCACCGACAGTCAGTCTTTCCTGTAGCAGCCATGTACTACTGCCCTCTGCTCTGGCTCAGGGTGACCTGCACAAGACAGAAAGTTGATGTTCTGCAGTGAGTTACACTTCTGTGTTGTCTCCGAGTCGACACAACCTTACAGCTGCATAAAGCAGGATCCACAGGGGGTAAAGATATGGTTTGGGTAGTTTGCAGTAAAGTGGAAGATGAACTTTAATCTTACAATCATCATACTATTATCTTCATTCACGTAATTCTGCTTTGGTCTGTTTTCTTAAAATACATTCTTCTTTCTGTTAGCCACTTCAGCTTGTTCTGGTCCTTGGTACAGTTCTGACTTTGCACTTGCATTGCTCTGGTATTAGTTGTTGATTTATACACATCAACTGACATTTCTTAGTCTTTAGAAGGTTTGTGTTGGTTTCAGTAACTTAAAGACTATAGTTCTTCTTGTGCTTGGTCTCTAGCATGAAATGCCCAGAAAGGTTGCACATGGTCTAATTTGGTCATACAACATACTGACTGTGGACTGTGTCCATATGGACTGTGGAGCTCAGTCCATAAAAAAGTCATTCTTAATAGGTACAAGGAACATTAGTTCACTATACATAAGAAATCAAGTGCAGATGTATTTAAGATGTTCAGTCTCAAGTGGTTTAAATATAAAAGTTGCTGGCAGCTGTAATAACCCTAGTGCAAACTGGAGAAAAGCAGCTCCTGCTGTGAACATGATATTACAGGTAGATGCCAATAATTATGGATGTCTCTGCTACACCTGAATTCATTTCATCACTGAAAGAATAACCATCGTTCTTGGATGAGACCCATGTCTTTACCATATAGAGAAACCTGGGCTTAATCTCTTTTACATCACAGGATCTTTACTTCTAGCCTGAAATGGCTCACTACAAGAGATATATTGAGTTGCTGGAACAGGTTCAGAGAAGGGCAACAAAGCTGGTGAAGTGTCTGGAACAGAAGTCTGATGAGGAATGGCTGAGGGAGCTGGGGTTTAGTTTGGAGAAGGCTCAGAGGGGACCTTATTGCTCTGATGGAGTGAGGTGGGGGCAGTTTCTTCTCCCAGTACCAAATGATAGGAAAGGAGGAAATGGCCTCAAGCTGCACCAGGGGAGGTTTAGACTGGGTATAAGGAAAAATGTCTTCACAGAGAGGGTGCTCAGGCATTGGCACAGGCTGCCCAGGGCAGTGGTGGAATCACCATCTCTGGCAGCCTTCACAAACTATGTAGATGAGGCTTCAGTGATGTGGTTTAGTCATGGTCTTGACAGTCCTGCAGTAATGGTTGGACTTGATGATCTTAAAGGTCTTTTCCAAACTAGTTTTTCCTATGATTCTATGATCTGATGAATAAACCAAAGCCCCTTCTCCCACTGCCTCCCATTCTCACCTCCCATTCATTCCAGTCTACCAAATTGTTTTCAGACTCCTTTTTACTGCATGGGAAACCACTGAATGTTTTTTCCCCTATGTGAAATCGAGGCCATTTTAACACTGCAAGGTCTTACCTCCTTTTGCTCCATTGGCACACTAGGTTTTGCCCGTTCTTTTACCAGTTCTGCCTCGAGTGAGGCCCTGACTTGTTTCATAGCATCATCATTTTTAAGCATTATAATACTACATTAGAGACCTGGTTTTGTGCTGCAATAAGTACATAGCCTGAGGAAGGTCCCTCTCTCGTAGGTGTGTGTCCCTGAGGAGCTCAAAGCTGAAAACAGATTGTTCTATTTTTGTCCAGCCGTATAAATCACCCCAGGAGCAAACCTCCGAATTCTCCTTCCCACCCAGAAGGTCTTTATTTAACCTCGTACTTCTTCCACAGCTTTTGCATTTCTGGGCCCGTCCTGCAGCCGCACCCTCACGCCTTTCTCTTGGAAAGCAGCCTAAAACCCCCTCAGGCTGCAGCAGGACTGTCAGCAGTCCCTCAGGACTGACCAGCGCAGGCACCCACGCTGCCGCGCCCTCGCCATCTGAGCCGTTCGCCCTCAGCCTCCCGTCCGCGGCGGGCCGAGTACAGGACACCCCGGTACCCCCCTTCGGAAGCATGAGCCTCACCCCGTGGCCATGACAACCCCGGCACTCCACTCCACCCCGCCCTCCCCATCGTCACATCGCCCTAGGAGCCCGGCGTGCGCAAGCCCCGCCTACCCCCCGCCCTGATTGGGCCCCTGGCCATAGCGCCATCTCGGCATAGCAGCGCTGATTGGCCACATGCCTCTGAGGCACAGGGCGCGCGGTACGTACAAGGAGGTGGAGGCGGCTGTTCATTAGCATAGCCCCGCCCCTGGCAAGCCCCCCCCTCACTCCCACCACCACCCCCCCCCCTTCCGCGCTGTGAGGTGTTCGTGTGGGCGCCGCGGGGCTCGGGGCGCTGTGCGAAGGGCGGGCAGGCGGGAGGGCTACGGCCACGGCGGCGGCACCAGCAGCAGCAGCAGCAGCAGCAGCGGCGGCGGCGGCATCGGCGGCAGCGCAGCATCCTTGCCCTGTGAGGCGGCCGTGCGGGGGGCCCTGAGGCGGGCAGGTGCAGCATCAGCCGCGCCCCCTCCGGGGTGTGAGCCTGAGCGGCCCGCCTGGGCGTGTCACGGGCCGGGGGCGCCCCTCCCTCCCTCAGCGCCGCCGCTTCGCTCCGCTTCCCTGACGGGAAGCGCCGCCGCCACCGGGGGAGCATCGGTCCCGGCGGGCTGTGCACGGCGGAGGGGTGATCGGGGAGGCGGTGTGGGCCGAGCTCCAGATCCGGGAGCGTCGCGAGGGGTGTCGAGCGTTTCGTTAAGGCTCGGCGCGGAGCTCGGTGGTTCCTAAGAAGACGGTTTAAACTGATTTCTTTATTGCGGTTTGGTAAGCGTCGGAATCCCCCTTTCGGAAGCCCCAGAGGGGCTCCTGCGACAGCCGACCGAGGTGTAGCTTGTGACTGGCTTCCTCGTTGGGATCTCCCTCCCTCCCTTCCATCGCAAAGGAAGTCTTAGCATTTGTATGCATATTTGTTTCGGTTCTTTGCACAAAACCCCGTTTTGGACAGTATCCATCAACAGGAAAGCTTTGGAAGAAGCGTCCAGGAGCAGCGAGCAGACCCTTCACGATGTGGACCTTTCTGGGTATCGCCTCCTTCATCTACGTGTATAAAAAGTGTGGAGACCTCATGACTTACGCTAACAAGGAGGTGCTGCTCTCCATGTTAGTGTTTTTCTCCCTGGGCTTGCTGCTGTCGTACAGGTACCGCTTCAGGGGGCCCAAGCAGCAGCAGCAGCAGCAGCAAAAGACCCACCTGGGGATGCTCTCTGATGTACTTGCAACTTTACCACTTGTTGGCTTCTTCTGGGCCAAACCCACCCCAGGATCTCAACAGGTTGAACAACCCAAATCCAGAAAGGTAGGTTCAATGCTCGTCGCGTATGTGGGGCACAATTATCTTCCTGCTGTTCTCTCTGGCCTCTGACTTTCTACCCTGAGGAGGGAAAGGAGCTAAGAAAGGATTGAAGAGGGTTTGTCTTTAGATGCTGGATGTCTTGATTTTTTGTGTTTTGTGTTCATTTTGGATGGCAGAAGAGTGAAATTATTTAAGTGGTATAGAGTTTCAGAGTTAAATCAGATGTGTTTGAAGAAAGATTTATAGTGAAGACTTAATGTACTAGCAGAATAATATCTTCAGCTGCCGATCTGTTGTAGAGATGAAGGAATGGGGGAAAAGGAAAGGCTCAGAGAGCTGCAACTGTTCAGCCTGGAGGAAAAAAGGCTCAGGGGGGATCTCATCGAAGTGTATAAATATCTGAAGAGGGGGTGCAAAGAAGATGGAACTGGGATCTCTTCAGCGATGCTCGATGATGGGACAAGAAGCAATGGGTACAGACTGAAACACAGGAGGTTTGCTCTGAACATCAGGGAGCACTTTTTTTTCCTGTGAGGGTGACTGAGCGCATGAACAGATTGCCCAGAGACGTGTTGGAGTCTCGTCCATGGAGGTGTTCAAAACCCAGCTGCAAACTGTCCAGGCCCATCTGCTCTGACCCTGCTTTGGACCAGATAACCCCTGGAGGTCCTTTCCAACATCAGCTATTCTGTGGCTCTCTGATCAGCTTCCTAATATTTATAGATAAACACGTTTGTCCAGATAACTGTAGGTAGAGTTATTTGGAAATTATATATACCTAAGCTATTGCTTGTGCAATAGCTGCATGACCTGAGCTCAGAGTTGGTCTGTTCCACGGAGCTCAGCATGAGACTTGCTGCGAGACAGTGGAGCTTAGCTGGAGTCCTGCCATCGAGGACTACCAACTGGATATGCATGTTCAGTACATCTGTGGCTCAGCACTTTCCATGTGCACTTCAGGAATTTCCAGCTGAGCACTGACCCCTTGCACAAAAGAGCTTGAAACCATTTTTGGCTGCAGGTCAGAGGTTCTGGATTTTGATGTTGTTTTTCTGTGAAAGCCTGACTTTACCCCAGTTTCTTGTATTCTCTGAATTCAGTTTTTCACTCCCTTGTTGCTTTGTAGATACAAACATGACACTGTGTCACTATTAATTCTCTTGTTCTGGGCATTTGTTTCACTGATGCAATCATATTTTAACCACTTTCAGCACTGCAGTGCTGAGGCATTTGTGAAAGAGTCAATTGGACTCTATTCTTTATTCCCACAGCTGTAGAAATGCCTTGCTGGTTTGCACTGGAATTGCCCTTACTACTTTTTTTTTCACATCAAAGGGTATTATTAGATGCTGTAGGAAGTTCCTATAACACAGTTGGTCTTTAGGTACCAGTTTATATGTTAACTGATACCTGATCTAATCTGTGTCAATTCTTAACAGCTTTAAATGTAAGAGAATGGTAATTTTCCCTGTACTTTTGACTGATGAATTTTCATTTCAGGACCACTTCTACATTTCCCAGGTAGCTGCTTCTGCTAACAGTTTTCCATGCTGAGTATTATTATAAGCTGTTACTTTGGTAGGTAGGTTCACTTACAGTAAAATTAAAGAGAAATACATTTTCCAGGGAATCTGTTTCCTTCCGAAGTCCTGAGGCACACTCCATGTAGTAGTGGCTCACTGGTATAAAGGTATTGGTATATGTTACTTTATAGACCAAGAATACGGGACACCTTTGGCTTACTGCTTTTCATGGGAATGTGACTTTCAGTCTCTCTGAGAGTTAGTGTCTTTGAGCAGCAAGGCAAGTTTAAGGAAGTATCTTGACTTTTGTTTGGGGGGTAGGAAGGGTGTTGTTTTTTTCTTCTCTCTGCTTGTTGTGGTTTTGTTGCATTGTCAAGTACAACTGAACTGGAAGATGCTCTCCAACTACCACTGTGCTCTCAGTCCCCCAGGTCAAAGTAAAACTAGACCAAGGTCAGCTCTCTGGCAAGGTTATGGTACATGTAACTTTGTTGGCTTTGTTTTCTAAAGGGTAAAAGAGACATAAACTTCTCAGATGTGTATCTGACAGAGACAGCTCCAAATACAACGTTATCACCCCAATACAACCCAGAAATTATCATTGTGGGATCAGGCGTCCTGGGTTCTTCCTTGGCCACGGTGCTCTCGAGGGATGGAAGAAAGGTGACTGTTATAGAGAGGGATCTGAAAGAACCTGACAGGATAGTTGGAGAATTGTTGCAACCTGGAGGTTTTAAAGCACTTAGAGACCTGGGTCTTGAAGGTGAGTGCATTTAAGACTCTAAATATATCTATAATGCAATAGTTTTAGGGGAAGCATGCCTACTGGGAAAATGAACAAATACATGATCTGCACCTAATATTTGAATTAAAATTGCTTATGTATTTCTGATGTACTATTTTGAAAATATTAATTCTTCAGGGTGTGTTTTGTTTAAGAAAATTGGACTGTAGATAAATACTTTTAATAATTAAGCTTTTTTAAAGACCTCTTTTAACTCATCTGTTGGTTTCTATTTTGCAGATGCAGTAGAAGGTATTGACGCACAAACTGTAAATGGTTACATAATTCATGACATAGAGAGCAAGACGGAGGTTGAAATTCCTTATCCAACATCTGAGGATGGGCACGTGGCCAGTGGAAGAGCTTTTCATCATGGCCAGTTCATCATGGGTCTCCGAAGGGCAGCTATGGCAGAGCCCAAGTGAGTCATCTTATGAACAGCTCAGTTGGGATCTAGAGGTTCAGAACCACTGTTCCCAGCATCCGTGAGATTCCTTAACCGCTTCCCTCTGTCCCGACACAGAGGGCTGCAATGAACAAGACTGAGAGAATGGAACAGCTATAGTTGCTTGTTCTGTTTTCTGTAGGTAACGTTCATGAGTTACGTATACATCATACATTACCTTTTGGGACAAGTTAATCTACAGGAGTATAGGTTTTAAGTATTAGGCAAGATACTGGCCCATCCACGTGAGAGAACAGTTCAAGGCTAAAGGGTCAGTTCTCTTCTACTGATTCTTGGGTTTGGTACTTCACCAAGAGTAGAGACCTCTTATCGGTAAGCCATGTGTAGAGCTTCCTTGGTCAAGAAACAAGTGGCAAATCTGTGGTATTCTTACAATTATGGAATAGTTTGGGTTAGAAAGGACCTTTAAAGGGCATCCAGTCCAGCCCTCCTGCAATGAGCAGGGACATACATTGCTTCCACTGGTGTTATCTATGATGCCAGAAATTGAACTTAGACATTTGCATGTTGTTCTGCTTTTACTGATAACAGGAAGTCAAGCTACTAACTAGACAGGAGCACTAAATGAAAGTAGCTCATTCTAGTTATTAACTTCTATTTTTGAGAATCTTGAAGACACCTTCTCTTCCTAAGGAAATTAAAGTTATTAGTATTTGATATTTTTTCTTTAACTGATTCATCTTTTGTACAGGAGATAATAAATCTTTTATTGAAACATAATAGATTCTAGGTGCTATTTTCGGTGGGGTGGTTTTTTTTTAATTGTCTTTATTTCCCTGAACAACAGTTACAAGGGAAACGTGGCATTGTAATCTTTTTACCATACATGTCTCTTCTGAATAGGAAATTGCTTTCTCCTGTCATAGCTATTGTATCATATGAATTATTAAAAATAGCACTGAAAGATAGCAGCCACAACCATGTCTCATAGAATGGTTTGGATTGGAAGGGACCTTAAAGGTCATCTGGTTCCAATCCCCTGACACAGGCAGGGACACCTTCCACTAGACAAGGTTGCTCAAAGGCCTGTCCAGTCTGGCCTTGAACACTGCCAGGGATGGGGCAGCCACAGCTTCTCTGGACAACCTGTGCCAGGGCCTCAGCACCCTCACAGAGGAGAACTTATTTGTAGTACCTAATCTAAATCTTTCAGTTTAAAGCCATTCTTGTTGTCCTGTCACTACGTGCCTTGTAAAAAGCTTCTCTCCAGATTTCTTCCTGGCCCCTTTAGGTACAGGAGGACTGCTCCAAGGTCTCCCTGGAGCTTTCTCTTCTCCAGGCTGAACAGCCCCAGTTCTCTCAGCCTGTCTCCATAGGAGAGGTGCTTCAGCTGTTCTTCTGATCATCTTCATAGCCTCTTCTGGAATCAAGCAGGTCCATGTCCTTCTTTTGCTCGGGGCCCTGGAGCTATCAAAACTTCTTGTTGAGGCTTCAAGTTCAGTGAAATTTGGGCACTTTTTTGCTCAGCCTGCAGGGAGGGAGAACTCCTGTGGCTCTACACAGTCTCAGAAGCAGAAACTCACAAAAGCTAATGTTTGTGACTTGAATTCAATTATCTCCCCTTTTCCCACACCATCTGTAATGTTCACTTTGTGTATGCCTGCTTTCAGTTTAATGGTAGCAAACTACTTCTCGATAAGGTGTGGGAGCGATCAAGAACTCTTCAATAGTTCCATGAAGCTTTGTTTTTCATCTCAAAGCTTGTGAAAATATAAGGGATAATTATATATTTATTATTATTTATCAACATATCCTCTTTATAAGTGGTAGGTAATATGAATTTATTTCAGATGAGTAAAATGAATTTTGCAGAGGAAAGAGGAAGGGCCTCATCAGTTAATCACTTTTATAGTGCGTGAGAACCAGAAAAAGAAGTGAGTACTCCACTTGGGTATCTGAATTGACAACTATAAAAGGAATTTAAAGCCTGTGGGATCCGCTGTACTCTGATTCACGTGCTATTAACGTGACATGTTGCTGCCCTCCCTTGCTGGTGAGGTTTCGGTCAGTGTGCTAACACACAACCATTCATGTTTTGATCCATCCAACCTGCCTGTTGCCTGGCAAATCAAGCTCAGAAATTTCTGTGCTGGCTGACATGTAGAAAAGACTTGAATTCAATTGCTCGTGTTCCCTCCAAGAGCCCAAAATACTAATCTGTTGAATTCTCATGTAGACCTTTAGCTAATTTCTCCAAGTTGCGGAATTCCATCTGGATATGCAAATATTTGTGAGGGAAAGAGTGTCTGTGTTGAGCTGCTAAGTCTGAACTTCTGGGATCAGGTTTAACAGGTCGGACCCAACAGGGGATGTAAATGTACAGGGATTTAATTTGTTTACCCCAAATAGCTGGTTTTGGGAGGTGGAAATAAGGGATACTCAGTTCAAACTGTGAACATAAGCATTAACAGAACTGGAAAAGCATAAATAGCAAGAAAATGAGGGGGGGAAAATACAGGAGTATCCTGAGTTCCTGAAGTGAAAAACTGGATGACTCTGCCCTAAACAGGTTAGGTTATTTTGGACTACTCTGGAAATTAGGTACCATTATCTTCGTGTACATGTTAGTGTAGAATTGCTGCTTCAGATCTTGCTCCTGAATTCTGCTTGCAGTCAGGGATCACCTGCACTGTCAGTATTTCCTGTCTTGAGCAGGGATGTCTGGTTCAGCTGCCTGGTTTCTGACCATTAGTAGGTGTCAAACTCCTCTCTGCAGCTCTTACATGGCCATGGAGCACCCGAAGCACAACTGGGGATTCTGCTATGTGGTTTGGTATTTAAGATAAGCACAACAGTTTTAGACTATTCTCAAGTATCAAATGAAATGGTAATGTTGAACTGAAATTAATGCCAAGCACTTTTTGATGTTTAATGCAGCTTCTGAAAGCGGTCAAGAACACATTTTTGTAAAATTGAAGCAAACAGTTTGTTTTGGCAGAGACAGGATTAGTGAAAATCTGGTTTTCCTTGTCTAGTGCCTTGAAATGCTGGCAGCATTAATCTTCCATTCTGTTTTAAACCCTCTGTTTTGTTTCAGTGCAAAATTCATTGAGGGGACTGTGGTAGAATTGCTTGAGGAAGATGACTGTGTCGTGGGTGTTCAGTACAAGGACAAAGAAACTGGAGACACGAAGGTAGGAAGTTCTGTGTTACAATCTTTGTTAAACTGTTCAGAAAATCAAGGGTTGGTGCATACATATAATCATTAAAAAAACCTTTATTTTGGAGCACTGGCACAGATATAATGGCATTATCAAGCAAGTGAAAGTTTTAATAAAGAGAGATACGGTCCCAGCATATGGGAATTCTTGTTATAACTTCTTGTGCAGCTTCTACATTTAGTGTGTCTGGAGAATTCAGTTCATTATTTCAGTATTCATATATCTGGAGTTTAAAATCTTTTGAGAGTTGCTGGTGGAAAATGCAGTATATTAAGATTTGTGTTTTGCCGTGTGTAATGATTTACACTTCCACATATACTTCCACCATCAGCTGAGGTATCTGAAAATAAGATAGGTGACTATTCAGAAAGAGAGCTTTGTCCGGTAATTTCTTGGATCACAGAGTTCTGGCCTATTTTAATTGCATCACTGATTTGATGAATATTCTTTGCCTCAACCAGTGCTAAACTGCTATCAAACTGTGTGAACTCGTAATTAAAAGTTTAGGAAAGACCAGCCTGGGTAGAACCAATGTGCTGGATATACTGCCTGTTCTCTAGAAGAGCCAAGTTTATAATCTCCTTTGTTGACTTCAAAATTCCTTTGCTGCCTAAAGTCATGTAGCCAGGGTGTTGCCCTCCATACAAGATTGAGAAAGCTCCTGAGGAGTTGGAAGTTCCTGCTCTGAGCATTACTAATGAAATCTCTCATCTTTAGGCCATTAAACAGTGGTATAAAACAGTATGTAAAAGAGCCTTTTAAATGTGCTTGCCCAGGATGTAGGAAAGCTGGTTGGTTTTAGAGCCTCCTCAGGCAAATGGCATTTCAGCCCGCTTGATGGCAAAGTGCTGTAAGAAGTAAGTTTTAAGAGAGCTAAGTGGAAGCACTATCCTTGACCTGCTTGAGGTAGCTGGAGAACGGAGGAGTTCCAGGTTCTGTTTCTTGGTCTGTCTTACAAGTTATATAAAATGATTAAAACATATAAAGACGTCCTCTCTAGTAGAACAAGCCATTGAATCACATGGGTACTAGAAAGAGGGACTTTGAGAGGAGGAGATTTTGGAGGATGGAGTAGTTTGTTGTTTGTTTGGGTTATTTTCCCCAAATCCAATTGGCTTTATCATCCAGCAGTGTAGAAGTGGGTTTGGTTTGGTTTTGTTTGGGGGTAAAGGGAGATTGATTTTTAAGCTTTACACATATACAGATGTTGTTATTGCAATTTTAAGTGTGACTTATTTGACCAGCAGCGGGGTAACCAGTGTTTTAGCCCGCATCTGTCCTGAGAGCCTGCGTATTGTTAGGGCTCTGAGTTTCCTGTGTGTATAATGGGGATAAACAAATTCATGTTTATGCTGAGGTTCTATGACTGGAAAGAGCTGTTTCATTTGGTGGCCTAGATCTCCTTTGACTTTAGAGAAAGAAATTTCCACTGAAGATTTATTCTTAACTGTGTTTCTCTGCTTGTGACTTTTTACGGCTGGGAAACAACTTGGGGAACCCAAACCAAAACCCAAAGCCTGTTTGCATTCCTTAGCCCCCTTTCATAAAGAAAGCAGTCTGATCTATACTGCGTTACTGTGTTTGTTCTCTTCATCCCTGTTGTCTACCACATTACCTGTGAGACTTTTACTCTCTTCAGTGAGGTTCAAATTAGCCAGTATGCTCCAAGTCAACTTTATCAAAACCAGGCAACTGAATAACGTCTTAGTGTGTTGACTGTGGAAAAACTAGCATGAATGTTCAGATGATGAGACACCAGGGAACCCTTATGTGGAGGTGGCTATGCTTTAACTGCAGGAATAATTAGAGCTTGCAGTATTCTGAGACAGGAATCTATAGGAAAGAGGATTTGTTAGCTCTACTCAGGAGCTCACTTCAATAAGCTCAGAAACCATAAACCTGTATTATTTTCCTCAGCTCTGCTCGCATCTGATTTTGTCCAATGTCCCATAACACAGTAAAAGGTGTAAGGACTGTGTGACACAAGTGGCTGATCCATTCCTAAGCAGGAGAGAACTGCTCATAGAGGAACCATAGAGGAACCCACTCACATACTAGCCTACCAGATGCTTCCATCCAATAGTAAAATGTTTTCTGGGACTACTAAGACTTTTTTGCCTTATTACTTCCTGAAAGCTTTCCTTCTCATGCCAAATGTGTGGATTGTTGAAGGCCAAGGACCAATGCTTAGTATAACTCTATCATTGTTTCAGTTACATCACTGAATGTACTGACATTGAGAAAGCTGTAGGTAGAAGGAAACATCTGCCTCTAAATTGTTTCTAGTATAATGATAGTATAATGGTGTTACTATATTACAATACATAGATTGTTTAAAAAGGTATGTGAGTAATTGAAATAATTTGTATATATTAGAGTGTGTGGTAAATATTAGGAATGTGCCTACACTCAGGCTGAACCTCATCAGTTTACTTGGGTTCTATTTTGTATTTTGTCTCTGTGCACTATTTGTTCCTGTAGTTACCAAGTATGCCAGGAACTGCTCAGGGTTCACTGCTGTTGTAAAGATCTTGGTATACTTGCTGCCTTTCAGTTTGTAGCGCTTTGGTTTTGTTTAGTTGCTTACACATAGCTCTTTAATTTAAAAGCTTGTATTGGTTTTCTTTTTTCTTCTATATGCTGAAGGCGGCAGTTACTCTACTTCCGTGTCTGTTTTTGATCCAAGCTCCCACACAGTGCCATAACTATGGGGTCTGAAAACATGTCTGAAAAAGCCAAAGTATATTTATTCTTAGATCAACTTTTACAGGAAATAGGGTTAAGTATTGCTCTTGTGAGACCTCACTTAGAGTACTGTGTGCAGTTCTGGTGTCCTCAACATAAAAAGGACATGGAACTATGGGAACAAGTCCAGAGGAGGCCATGAGGATGATCAGGGGACTGGAGCACCTCCCATATAAAGGCAGGCTGAGAAAGTTGGGGCTGTTCAGCCTGGAGAAGAGGCTGCCTGGAGACCTCATAGAAGCCTTCCAGTATCTGAAGGGGGCATATAAGGATGCTGGGGAGGGACTCTTCATTAGGGACTGTAGTGACAGGACAAGGGGTAACGGGTTAAGACTTAAACAGGGGAAGTTTAGATTGGATATAAGGAGGAAATTCTTTCCTGTTAGGGTGATAAGGCACTGGAATAGGTGGCCCAGGGAAGTTGTGAATGCTCCATCCCTGGCAGTGTTCAAGGCCAGGTTGGACAGAGCCTTGGGTGACATGGTTTAGTGTGAGGTGTCCCTGCCCATGGCAGGGGGGTTGGAACTTGATGATCTTAAGGTCCTTTCTAACCCTAACTATGCTATGATTCTATGATAAGTATGAATATGAGGAAGGCAAAAATACATAAAGTATAAATACCTTCTGTGATCCTCTTACCTGTTTATTGTTTGTAGAACATCTAATGCACAATTGCAAATGGGAGCTTGGGATTTGGTTCCCCCTGTTCTGAAGCAAAATTGAAAATGTCCTTTTTTTACCTCGTGCTGCAGGAACTTCATGCACCGCTCACTGTTGTTGCTGATGGACTTTTCTCCAAGTTTAGAAAACACTTGGTCTCCAACAAAGTTACTGTGTCATCCCATTTCGTTGGTTGCATTTTAAAGGTAACGTTTATATATGATATTATGTAAGCCAATATACTACTGCTTCTTAATGTGGGTCTGAATTTCACTGAATATGTTGTTGTTCAGCATCTTTTCTGAAAGAATGAATTAGACCTATGCTTTTAGATACTTAACCAGCTCTTCTATCAGTTTCTGTGTCCCTTTGAGGACTGCTTGGATATTTTAGTCCCTGTTTTAACTCTCACATGATTGATGCATACCCAGTTAACTAGTGCAGTTACAGATCAGATTTTTGACTCTTAAAACACTTCTAAGAAACTTTAAAAGTTAGATTTCTGGTATAAAGAGTGGAGCACAGCGTTAAGCATATAGTTGAACAAGAGAGGGTTTAAAAGAGACCAGATTAGGATTCAACACAGGAAGTTTTAACTGAGCACTGGGCATACTAAACCTGTTCACAGATATTCTTTTTCCTTGAAGAATAGTTTTAGCATCTCATATAAGGTAGTGCTATATGTGCTATTAGCATATAATTTCTGGATTGGAAGCGAACACCATTTTAAAGCTGGAACCCCATTTAGAAGATAATTTCTGTGGCTATAAGTGCTTTGACTGGTTTTTGGGTTGAGGTATTGGTAGCTGAGCTGGTGACGCTTGTTTCTCACAGTATTTGTGATACTTGTTCAGGGAGCCGAGATCTGGAGTTTTAGATCATGCTGACAGCTGTGGGTCAAACCACTCATGTTTTATACTCCAGAAGAATCCCCAAACTGTGTTTTTGCCTGAAGGTGGGGTGCCTTGTAAACAGGTACATACGTACCTTCAGGATCTATATACTTCAAGGGAGAAAGTGGGAATCTAGGTTGGTAGCTGAGTGGTCGGAGAACCCAGGTAGAATTGCCTTCTGTGGCTGCTACATTGACTATAGTATTAACAGAAAAAGAATGAAGGGAGAAGAAAGCAAACCACAGGATTTTCACTGGACTGGGAACACTGACTTGGAGGAACTTCAGCACTTTTTGGGTCCCGAACCCAGTTACCACTGCCCAAGGACCTCCTGTTTCTCTACTTTTGGAAACCTATTTAAGACCTGGTTAGATAGGACCCTGTGATTCTTCCTCAGTTGGTATCTCCATATAGTCGCATACAGAGACAATGCATACAGAAAGAAATACAGTGCATTTCTTTCCCTCCCAGCACTTCCTTTATGAAAAGAGAACATCCTCTTACCAAAACCCACTACAGTGATTATATTACAGGCTTTCAATGGCATGTCTTAAATATTAGTGAGGTGTTCAAGTGAAATGGATAACAACATATTTTATAGTAAAAATTAAAATGTGTTGTGAAAAGAATTGTCACTGCACTGAAGTTAAGAACTTTCTTTTTGAAAACACTTGTTCATTGGGGTAAATAACACACTGCAATATGGGATTTTATTTCAAAGTACTTAAAATGATTTTGAATTTCTACAGTTGAATATCCTTTCATTAATCAGTCTCAAGCTTTCCTCCCCTTCTTTTCTCTTCAAGGATGCACCACAGTTTAAAGCCAATTACGCTGAACTTGTTCTAGCTAAACCCAGTCCAGTGCTTATCTATCAGATTTCTTCAACTGAGACTCGGGTCCTTGTTGATATTCGAGGGGAAATGCCAAAGAATTTAAGAGAATACATGATTGAGAACGTTCATCCACAGCTACCTGGTAAGTGCAGGAAGATTTCCATCCATAACTGTCACTGTTATGAGTGCCAGAAAGGCCAGTCTCCCTGAATCCATTGAACCGTGTGGCCTTTTTCCATGTGCACAGTTACTGATTCAGTTCCCATTCACCCTTCTTTGGTTCCACATCCCACAGCAGTTTGTTTAGCTCACATCTGTGAGACTAGCAATTCAGAAGGATTATCTCTCTAAGAAGAGGTTAAAATGGGCTGTGTGAGCATGATTTTAGACTCTTGTGTAACTGAAATACTTGGTTATTGCAGATCACTTAAAGGAGCCATTCTTAGTAGCAGTTCAGACTGATCGCTTAAGGACGATGCCAGCCAGCTTCCTGCCCCCGTCAGCTGTAAACAAAAAAGGTGCGTGTTATGGAATGAAAGGAGGGAAAAAGGCATTATGGACTTCTCTGGGGACATTGGGCTTTGTTGCCATAGATGTATATTTGGTGTTCAATACAACTGTCAATTCTTCTGTGAGAGATTAAGTTTGTATACCCTGCGCAGAGTGCAACTGGGATGTTTATATTGACACAACTTCAAATCGGGGCTTGCTTGATTTTTAAGTTTAAATCACTCAGTTGCTCAAGCTGATACAAGCTTGGTCTTTTTAAGGAAAACTTGATTAAAAATGGAAAGAAATTACCTTAAGTGTGTTTATTCTTTGAAACGCACACATAAGAACCTGTATGGGAGAAATGCTGAGTTTGTTCATCTTTAAGCCTTTTTAAGCCTGTTTAAATTAAGTCCTTCCTTCCTTCCCTTCCTCCCCTTCCTCCCATCTTATATATGGGAATGAATTCTTAGTAAGTTTGATTAGAAAAAAATAGAGGATTTGGTCATGCAGTATCCCATAAATTTTTCTCTTCCACGCAGGTGTTCTGCTTTTAGGAGATGCATACAATATAAGACACCCTCTGACTGGTGGAGGAATGAGTGTTATTTTCAATGATATTAAAATATGGAAGAGTTTACTCCAGGATATTCCAGACCTTTATGAAGACTCTGACATTCTTCAGGTGAAGCTTTATTTTGCAGCTTTTACTGCAGTTTGATGACTCTTTTCTAAGTTCTGTGCAGCTTGGGGACATGTGTAAGTTTTTAGCAAGGCACAGCAGTCTTCGAAGCTTTGGGTATTCAAACCTACATGAGGCATTCACCAGGCAACAGAGTTGTGGTATGGGATGCTGTGGCTGTGTGGCAAAAAGCAGAATCAACACTGCTTGCTGATCTGTCATGTTGTGCTGAAGGGGACTGGTGTGCTGGGTGTAGTCGGCACACTTTGCTAGTATGACCTTATCTGGCCCTGTTAATAATGTGTTTGTAGCACAGGTTAGAATCATAGAATCATAGAATAGTTAGGGCTGGAAAGGACCTTGAGATCATCAAGTTCCAACCCCCCTGCCATGGGCAGGGACACCTCACACTAAACCAGATCACCCAAGGCCTCGTCCAGCCTGGTCTTGAACACTGCCAGGGATGGAGCATTCACAAGCTCCCTGGGCAACCTATTCCAGTGCCTCACCACCCTAACAGGAAAGAATTTCCTCCTTATACCCAATCTAAATTTCCCCTGTTTAAGTTTTAACCCATTACCCCTTGTCCTATCACTACAGTCCTTAATGAAGAGTCCATCCCCAGCATCCCTATAGGCCCCCTTCAGATACTGAAAGGCTGCTATGAAGTCTCCAGGCAGCCTCTTCTCCAGGCTGAACAGCCCCAACTTTCTCAGCCTGTCTTCATATGGGAGGTGCTCCAGTCCCCTGATCGTCCTCATGGCCCTTCTCTGGACTTGTTCCAACAGTTCCATGTCCTTTTTATGTTGAGGACACCAGAACTGCACACAATACTCCAGGTGAGGTATCACAAGAGCAGAGTAAAGGGGCAGGTTGATGGTAAATGGGGTGGGGTTTGGCCATTACTGTTGTATGAGTAGGGGATAATGAGCATGTGGACCAAGTTTTTCCAGGCACATCTCCATGCTCCACTGGCCCCTTGCCTGCTGCATTAATCTCGCAGTAGGAAGTTAGGAAACATCTTCTTTCCCAGCAATCAGCACCATCAGTGTTGATGCCAGGTTTGTTTTTACAGTGAGATTTTGACCCAGAATTCTGCTAAGTAAGTAATAAGATTACTTATTTATTTCTTCACTGCTTTTAATCAGGTTAGGCAGGGGTTGGAACCAGATGATCTTAAGGTCCTTCCAACCCAAAGCATTCTATGATTTTATGTTGTCTTGGCTAAACTACAGTTAGAATAGCTATAGATGACAAGTAAAGGATTTTGAAAGTGTATTTGAGAATTGAAAAGCCCTTAAGAGGGCCCCTGAACGTTAGGACAGTACAGGACTTACTTGACCACATGCAGATATCTAGATCTCAGCATCACCTCGGACTTCCAGTTATTTCCTACTTCCACTCCGTCAACAGCAAGAAGTAGGTAACACTTTGAGTTTTTGATGTGCACCAGCCACTCCAGGCTGAGATGAAGCACACCCTTCTGTGCTGCCTTTTCTATACTTAGTAAGAGAAGCCCGGTTCAACAAGTTTCCCAAATTCCTTACTGATGTAGGTTCCGTGCTGATCCATTCCACATTTTCATGGGTATGACTCTTACTGCCTGCTTGGGAATGTTTTGAGTACGGTTCTGTATCTACTGACAGAGATACTTATGTCTTTGGTTTTCCTTTTTCAGGCCAAAAGGACATTTTACTGGTCAAGAAAAAAGTCTCATTCTTTTGTAGTGAACATCCTTGCCCAGGCCCTGTATGAACTCTTTGCTGCCACAGATGGTAAATATGTCATAAAGATAGCTCCTGGCTAATTACAGCTTGGTAAATAAACATGCCTGGGGAAAGGATGTGTGTGTGTGTGCATGAACAGATGTCCATGTGTTCTTGCATGTGTATATGTATATTGATAGATATTAAATATATATCCATGGAAGGACTTTAGTGAGTTAGTTTGCATTCTCTGCCTAATGGTTTAGTTTTAGTGGTACGTAAACTGAGTTTTGGCAATGTGAAGGCAAGCCTGGAGTTGGCATTCAAAAAGCAAAACCAAGGAAAAATGCCACAAAGAAACAAGCAGAAAACACTTGTTCTTGTGTCAGTTAATTCATGAATATTCTATGGATATTCTGTAAGACTGTCCTTTACTTCAATAAAATTAGCTCAAAATTCAGTTGAATTTAACAGAACAGCTACCAAAGTACCAAAAGTCTTGGATTTGGTATCACTGTTGTGTGTGCTGAGTTAGTCTTGAGTATGTGTTGAATATCTTTGTTGAGTCATTGTAATTCATTTTGTAGATTCCTTGCATCAGCTGAAGAAAGCCTGTTTCCATTACTTCAGGCTTGGTGGAGAATGTGTCTCAGGCCCTGTTGGATTGCTGTCTGTGTAAGTACAGGGTGCTGGAAATGGCTAATGTGAACAGGGGCAGTAGTCCAAGTCCACAGGAGCCTGTTTTTAGGATTATACTAAAGGTTGGAGCTTTATTAGAAGATGTCTTTAAAAGCTGACTCTGTTTTGGGTTTTTCTTTATAAAAAAAAAATGCCACTAAAAGCTGCAGAGAGGTTAATGTGTGTGGCATGGGAGTTTGAATGAGGTAGAGAGGTCCAGACTGGCAGAGGACCTGGTGGAGGTGTTTCATGCTTGATGAGTTGGGAATAGCAAAGGATGAGGTCTCCCATAAAAGAGCGTAAGGAATGGTGGAACTGTCAAGGTGTTTTGATTGACCCCTCAGAAAGCAATGACTGTGCAATAACTCATACTGCTTTGAGCATGTGAGAATGTGTGCATTTGTATGTCTCCTGATTTGGAACGGGAGCTGACAGTGATAGAGCTTGTTGAGAGTAATCCCCCGGGGGCTGATGGAGGCAGGCACAGGCTGCTGGGAATGAGGAGAGTGCAGCAGCGTGTGTTGGCTGCATTGTAGGGGGGGGAGCAGAGCATGGAGCAGCTCCAAGACAACAAAGTGTGTATTTTTCAGTTGAGATGTGAGCACCAGCGCTGCCTAAATCAGAAGGGGAGGGCAGGGTCATCCTGAGTGCAGATCTCTACTTGTAAACTTACTTTCTGTCAGTGCTTTCCAGTACTGTTTATTGACATGTTCTATCTCTTTATTCTCAATACAGGTTATCTCCTAAGCCAATGGTGCTGATCGGCCATTTCTTTGCTGTAGCATTCTATGCTGTTTATTTTTGCTTCAAGTCAGAGTCCTGGATCATGAAGCCTCGAGCATTTGTCAATAGTGGAGCCATTCTTTACCGGAGTTGCTCGATAATATTTCCACTTATTTACTCTGAAATGAAGTATTTAGTCTACTAAAATCCAGGGGGAAGTGACTGGAGGAAGAAAACATGAAAATCACGATGCCTTCAAAATCTTTGGAGCTCTACTATTTAATAGTGCATTATGTTTTCTTCTCTGCAAAACGCGATTTCCTTGATAAGGATCTGACTTAATTTTGGTTTTGTGGGTATATACATATATATTATATGTAAATATTCTTTTCTTTGCAATTTCAGTCCAGAGAGGAGGTAGCTGTTTACAAGGACCATGATTATGTGTTGAGACGTGGTAGAGAATTGCCAGTTTTGTCAGAATTTCATCCCTTGCTTTTGCCATTGCTGAGTGCACCACTAATATTAATAAACTGAGAAGTGAACATGGTAAACCACATGCTGCTATTATCCTTCTTTCTTCCATGCTTTATCCATGCTTGCTTCTCTTCAGTAGTGCTATAGACTGTTTCTTTACTGTGGGATAGTGTAACAGTCTTGATTTGGGTTGTTTCATTGGGATTCGCTTCTCTTCCGTACCAGTTGCAGCTGAGGTACTGGTCTATAGATACTTAAAAGGACACTGGAAAGGATTTCAGATCATGCAGTGTCATCATACCTTTAACTTCAGTCCCTGTTGCAAGCGCCATGTTGTTCTTCTGAAATCATTCGTTACACCAGAATTCATTTAAGCGAGTAATAATCAAACCGTAGTCACGTGGCTACTGCATTGCACTCAGGTACAGAAAATAACCTGGATAATTCCTTCCTATGTCCCTCCCTTGTAAAACCTGAAGGGTTTGGGTTGCTTTTGCTGGGGAGGGTGTGCAGCTGGAGCTTAACACTGCCACAGACTGAAGCACAGCAATGGACTGCATGCACTGAAACAAATTCAGGCCAGGCTGTTCCCAGAGACAGTAACCTTTAATACTGTAAAAACTTACAAGAAGTGGCACAAAGTGTCCTTTTAATAGTATGATCTGGAGATTTTTCCCTACAGAAATCACTGCATGCTACTGGAGAGCTTATATCTTGTACTGTTGGTCACTCTTCCTCTCAATGTTATCACTATCAGTGTGCTTCCCTTTGTTCTTGTGTGTTGTCATTTTTCTTTACCTTTCTTATGCATCTTTCTTACGGTTGCTTTGTGTATCCCTGTGTGTCTCTGTTGTTTTGGCTGGCCTGAGCAGTCACGCAGCAGTGCTGAGAGAGCAGTAATATGCTTCTGTACTGGTGAAACATCTTGAAAACAGGGGAGTACTAAGATTTTTGTGATAGCATTCTGTATGGGAACTAAGAGCTGCTCCTTGGAGGGTAACACAGCGCTTGCAGGGTGTATACGAGTGTGCTCAAAATTGGTGGCAATTGTGAAAATATTAATTTTACGTTTTCTGGGGTTTTTTTATCTCATTTGCAGTCAGCCTCCTTAAAGTCAAGCACAGAAAGTCCTGAGCCAAATACCCATCCTCAGCTCACTGTAATAAAAGGTTATGATATCTGCAGATGTTTTTGCTGGTTAATGAAAGGTTTTCGGATCTGATTGATCAGGAAATACCTCTGCTTAAATGTGTATGTGTGTTTAAGTGATTTTTTTCTTCTATTTTCCTAAATTCAGTTTCCTAAGTACCTGCTTAAGTGTTTTGATGTTGAAAATCACTGTGGGGGAGATAAACACCTTGTGTGTGTGTGTGTGTGTGTGTGTGAGGAAGAACAACTTGAAAATACAGCTCCTGGAATGGTTATGGGCCTTGTCCTCAAGCCAGGATGGAGGACTGGCTTTGAACTCCCAAACACACTGGGAGTGTTTGGACACAGGGCAGGGCAGGGGGTGGGCTTCACACTGGAGTTACTGGTGAGTCGGTGTTCAGTGGTGTTGGCAGCACTGGCTGGTCAGTGCCAGCAGCAGCAGGGAAGAAGAGGCACAGGGCAGAGCTCCTGGCTGTGGTCTCTCATCCCTGGCTGCAGTGGTTTTGTCAGAGCTCGTGGGGTGGGGAGAAGTCATGAAAGAAGCAGCTCTTGAGCCAAGTAAGAGAATCAGAATCACAGACTGCTTTGGTCAGAAGGGACCTTAAAACTCACCCAGTTGCAATCCCTTGCCATGGGCAGGGACACCTTCCACTGGAGCAGGTTGCTCCAGGCCCCATCCAACCTGGCCTTGAACACTGCCAGGGATGGTGCAGCCACAGCTTCTCTGGGCACCCTGTGCCAGCGCCTCAGCACCCTCACAGTAAATAACTTCTTCCTAATGTCTAACTCTTTCCATTTAAGCCATTCCTGTTGTCCTGTCACTACATGGCCTTGTAAAAAGCCCCTCCCTCTCCATCTTTCTTGTCGCCCTCTTTAGGTACTGGAAGCTGCTCCAAGCTCTCTCTGGGGCCTTTTCCTGGATGCCCTCACCAGTGGTGCGTGGAGGCTTGTTCATTGCTGGGGTGTTGGTTTATGTGTGAAAGCATCACAAGCCTTGGAGAGATTTGTACCATTTGTAGGTTGAGTGTTCTTGGTCCTCTGGTTTTCAGGGTTCGGTTTGGTTTGAGTAAGCTCTTTACTGGAAATCTGTGGGGCAATGAGAGGTTTGGTTCTTTCATCATGGCTACAAACCCTGTGCTAGAGCAGGCCGGCGGTGTTGGGCTCTGTGTGAGGAGCACTGCCCGCTGGGGCTCTGCATGTGCTCCCTCAGCTCCAGCACAAGCACAAGGCAGAGCAGTGGTGGTTTTCCTCCCACCTTCCTTTTAACCACCCGGAACAAAGAGGAAGCGCTTGGTTAGTCCTGGATCAGTGGCTGGGTTTTGTCACTGAGGACTTGAGTGTGCTTGTGAGGCAGCGGCAGTGCAAGGTGGTGTGAGGAGTCTTGGGCATGGTTCTGGTGCCCTCTCAGGGGAGCCAGTGTGAGCAGGGGCTTACACAGCCTGCTCTGCAAGGGAAGGAAAGAGCAGCCTGTTGCTCTCTGTAGCTGTAAGCAGTTTGTTAATGATTCTGAGCAGCACTTGGAAGCCCTCACACTGAAACCTATCTCACTGGATCTGCAGTACACTGCAGGGGAGGAACAGCCCCCAGCCAGTAACAGGGGCCCTGCGCTGGTCCTCCTCAGTGTTCCCCAAGTTCTGTTTCAGCTGCGCAGTGATCTGGTTTTGAAGAGCCACACTTGAGCTGGAATTGAGCTGTTCCAGAGTACGTGCGGCACCGGTGCTGTCACCGGGGTTTCCAAACATCTCTGCAAATAGGAAAAAAGGGGGTGATTAAAACACGTCGCTCACTCCCTCGTAATTACAGGTTCTGTCTTGTCTTTCACCCTCTTGCCATACACTTGACCTCTGGCTCCTCCCACTCTGTTTTGTGGTCCTTGCTTCACACTTGCAGCGTGAAACGTGCTGCAGTACAGGACTCTGGTCGTAGATGGGAAAGGTGCATGGAGCGTGTTTCCTGCACTGGGTTCCCATCTGGAAGCTGTGACCTGAGCTACTTCACAGGCTGCTCCTGTGTCCCCAGACCTGGTATTCACTGGGCTGTACACTGCCTGCGTTGTGCCAGTGGGGCAGGAATCGATGGCTGGCTCACAGTGCTCACACTGCTCCGGGAACCAGCTTGTGTGTTCTGGACCAGATCAACCTTCAGAACTGCTATGGGCAGTTGATAAATCATCCATCGAGCAACAATGGCTTGCTCAGCGCGACATTCCTACATGGACACTAGTGTCAGCAGGTCCTAAATTGTTCCCTGTGGAGCTCCAAAGAGCTGTGCAAGCTCCTGTGCTGCGCACTGAACAGCAGCGTGACAGTTTGCTGAGATACGGTTATTCAAGGCACTGAAAACAAAAGCTGCCAGGATAGCATTCCGGGTATTCCGGGTAGTGACTGGAATCCACCACCAGCATCAGCAAAGTAACATAAATGGGAAATACAAGCCTGATGGTGGAACCCATGGTCCTGGACTCTCTGTGACTGGTCCTCTGTCAGCTACCACCCACTCGCAGCAGCAGTCGGGAAGGTGAACAGGCTGTTGGGAACTGGTAGGGAAGGGCTGGAGCAAAACCCTACAGCTCCACATGAAGTGAGACTGAGTGACTGATGTCTGGCAGAGCAGAAGCTGGGAATGATTCAGGCAGGGTCAGGAGGAGCTGTGAAGTGTTGGGCCTTTGCTGGGTCTCAGATGGCAGAGGTAGTGGAGAGCCATGGAAGAAGCAGCTTGTGGCATCACAGCTGGGTTTCACAGCTGGTCCACACGTGTTGCCAGGCAGCCACTACCATCAGGACCGTAGGTCAAATCCTGAAGCTCTTGTTCATGTGAAGACATGCATCCATAGTGCCTTGCATCCGTAGTGAGCAATCCTGGAGAAGCACCCACATGACTTGGTGGGGTGTGTTGCATTCTCGTATATGATTTTAACCGGTTCCACCTCTGCTATTACAGTGGGTAATTTGTTTTTGCATGGGAACACTGGGTTTTCCTCAGCTCAGCACCTTGTTTCCTCTGGGCTGCTCTTGCACAGCTGCTGCTTTGTCAGGTTTCTGCAACGCAGCATTTGCTTTGGGTGCAGATTCACATTTTTCAGGCTACAGCATCTTAACAGCGTCTTCCCAGGTGTGGTTTTTGGTAGCTCCAATACAGGGGCTGATAGATATATGGGCCTGAAAGTACACATGGGGTTATAGAAGCATATAGAATTGAATGCACAGGTATCCCCTCCCTCTACCTGCTGTCTGTGGGCTTCATAGACTCACAGAATGGCTTGGGTTGGAAGGGATCTCAAAGATCATCTGGTTCCAACCTCCCTGCCACAGGCAGGGACACCTTGCACTGGACCAGGTTAGCGTGATCTAGAACCTGCCTTAAACCCTACTTAATTCTGGCAGTACCATTGGTGAGGGTTTGGCTTCACAGGTTCTTCCAGGATGCAGGAGTGGATTCTCTTGGTGCAGGACAAGAAGGGGAAGCTTGCAGCGGGTTAGGGTCTATAGTCAAGCAGTGGCTTGAGCACGAAGGCTTCATCTATGGTGGGAAACACACCAGGACCACAGGCACCTCCTGGGTGTGGTGTGGAAGGGAAGGGGATTGGCACGGAGCAGGGCCCATTTCCAGCACGGGTGGATCAGGCTGCTCTGGTTTAGGTGTGAGCTGGGCCAGGCGGTTCCTATGTCACAGGATGGGTCCTGACATGTTTCATGGGGTTTGGAGTGAATACTGAGGTCCTGGACATGTCCATGTGGGGCTTCCTGAGCACCGTGCTGAGCCCAGCAACAACTGCTTCACGCACTGTTTGTGTGGGACGCACGGCACAGACATAGCCCTCACCTGTATTTCAACATACTGAAAAACCTGCTGCTAAGCTCCACCTTCCTTATGATGGGATGCATTTGCTGCCTCTGTTTTCCATGTTTGACAAATCATGCCCTGTGACCTG